GAAAGTCACTGACATAGCTCTAAATATTAGCAGTTTGAAGTGGTAGTGTGCAGGTCGCATAGCTCGTAGAACTGACGGCCACTGGGGTAGAAAGGTTCTTGAATGGAGACCACGAACCGGAGAACGTTCAGAGGTACGACCCCCTACTAGACGGATAACCTGGTGAGGGCGGCGGGTAATCGATGGATGCACGTCGCGTCCGACCGGCTAGTCTGGCAATCTTTGGGGCAGGCCTATGTTCAGCAGTGGATGTCGTTTGACTGATTTGATAATGATGATTATTATTCAGACTAATAGTTCCATTAGGATTTTAAAACAAATTATTCTTCTCCAATTTAATACACGAAATAATTATAACCATTTATTTTATTTTAAAAAAACCAACCGCTTTCGCTGTGTTCGTTACCCTGATCTTCTCTCCGTCAATACGAATAATATTAGCCCAAACACAAGGTAGCTGCCGTTGAGGAGTTCTGCTCATCTGTCTACCATTTCTATCATCAGATGACCTCTAGGTCACATGTGATGTCATTTTAATTGGAATTACATTTACGTGTCAAATCGATTAACGAAAAGTGGATGAAATTCAATAAACTAGATTTAACTCCAATTTGCCACCCTTAAAAGGTGGAATGTCTTCCCAAATTTGAATGGAACCACAACTAAGGTACCTTTTTCAAAATAAAAAAAACCATCGAAATTAGTTCATAAATATGGCACAATATACGCAAAAAATACATCCGAATTGAGAACTATTTTAGAAAAGAAACATAATTTTTTGAAAGTTGGTTGTAAATAGTATTGTATCTATGCAGCAATTTAACATTAAACCTCGTTTATTTTTAGTATTTGTCAAAGTCAAATAATCATTTATTCCATAGGTACAACTTTTAACTTGTTCGTTAACTATGCTGACCTGAGAACGAGCAAGAAACTCTAGGAATTTCTCTTTTCAATAAACTTAAATGCAATGGAATACACTGTTAATCATAATTGTGTGGAATCTGGACTCATGTTGTCTTTCCATATATCTTTATCTAACACATATTTTTCAATTTATTAATATGACTTTTCAATTAAAATACTTTTAATGTAAGTTTTAAAGTTAGAAAATTATAATCTTAATATAATGCTCCGGAATCGTATTGTAAAAACGTATACGGTTCCCCATAAAAGAATCGTTTACCTTAGTCAAACGAAACCGTGTTACCATGAGTTTGGACTTAGTTCTATGGTTAATTTTACGGATGTCTTGATTTATTGAACTCCGTCACTAGTGATTTGTAAACTATTTTGTACTTCTTACATACCATTAATTCGTACCAGTAAAACAGTAATAAAACAAAATAATAAAAAAATGTTCTCTCATCAAAAATCTGTTTTATACCCAAGTTCGAGCGAGACGGGACGAGTGTCCTAAAAACGTGCACTCTTTAAATATAATATGCGGTAGATATTTGCGGGCAGCTCACCTGCGCTTGAGCCAAGTAGTCGGTGTCCTGATCGCTCGTTGGCGTGTTGTTCCAGACCAGACTGTAGATGACGTGAGTTTGTGTTTTATAGCCTTGAATTTGTAATCTGGGCTTTGATCTATTTTGTTACTAGGTTCGTTTTGCCAATTACCATCCACACTTAGTAGATCATATTTTGTAAGGTTCACTCACTCCATGATAACATTTACTATCATCACCACTATAAGCTTATAGCAGTTTACTGGCGGATATAGACATATTTCAAGTTGTAGTAACAGGGTTTGTGCTTTTCACACTCTATCACAAAAAAGTCTAAATTCGCAATGGCTTCCTCAATTTCCAACATTTGATTATTGAATTACGGCACAGGTTCAAATTCAAACTTTGCTTGCATATTGCGATATTCCTAAACACTGATATGGAACTCGTAGACCATCTTAAAAAAACGCAAATTAATCAGAATGTGAACAGCAAAAAAAATCGTGTGAAGTTTGCACAGGGATGTCAACTTGTAGTTGATTAAAATTTAATTTACTTTCTTTTCCATTAAATAATAAACCTATGTTCTAAAATTTGATAGATTCGCATGAAATCACCAGCAAATCTAACTAGTTTCTAAAGGTATTTTAATTTGAAACGCTACTCCGCGCGGTTTTAAGTTTCTAGTTCTTTGATTGTTGTTTACTTGTTTATTCATTTAGATGCAACCAAAAGTGACATTTTATCTCCTTACTTTCTCAAACTCGCATCTTAAAGCACAAAGTTTCTGAAATGCAAAAAATGGATTGTATATTATACAAAATTTGCAGGTTGATTTTCCAACACATTTCCTTCATATTCACACATTGGCTTGTAATTATTCTTACAAGTAATGCAACTAAATTAGCACCCATTATAAGAAATTTATAATAAACAGAAAGTTTTGCCATCTCTTGAATATTCACTCTTTATAAGATACGAGTTTAAGAAAGTAAGGCATCGATTTCTTGATATATTGGTAAACATCATAGGTAGTAGGTACATTTCTCTCAGAACACTTATTTATTTATTTATTTATTTATTTATTTATTTAAATGCAAGTCACAACAATATATTTCCATTAAAAATCTTATTGCTATGACACCCCGCGGGTTGTATGGCATTTGGTCCCTATTTTATATAAAACAAAATAATAACTTAAAATTACATTAAAATTTTATTTACAAATTACTTAAAACTACTTACGTAGGTATATATATGACACACAGTTATGCGGTTAAGCATAGAGCTTGAAGGCATACCGGCTTGTAAAACAATTCACAAATCCTAACTATCATCTGACTTATAATAGGAGCCAAGTAACTTTGCAACTATACCTCCATCCTCTTCGAAATTTCATCTGTCCTGGTTCCTTTAAACTGAAAACCAATACACGTGCAACTAATACGAAACAGTTTGTGTTGTGGGAAACAACCATTGCCAGATGATCTACCTTAATACATACTATAATAACAACTAACGGAATCTCGCAAAATAAGCTACCTGGAAATCTTATAATAGAATGTCCTACTGTATATGAAACGATGTTTTTTCGGACATAGGTACTTTTACGTGCACGTCTTTTCTTCTATAAAATTTTTGCATGAAGCAGACATTGAAAAGAGACCACATTTTTCGTACCAGCATGATATTATAACATTGTTTCATATCAATAACGCTGCGAGTACAGCTTTCAAAAAAGCTCTATTCACATTTGTTTCATTTATCATCGATAACTCAGTAATAAATATAACGTGGGACCAAATCTGCGTTCCTTGTCATGAACAACGCATTTGCATGTTGATAACTTTCAATATTTTTTTATGATGCTATGTGACGGGATGAACAAGTCGTGCGCCTGATGGTAAGCGACACGCTTGTCCATGTCCAACAGTTGCAGTGCCACTCAGAGCTTTAAATCTCAAAAATCTGAGAGCCACCGCCACTGCGCCCATCACCTTGAGACATAAGTTGGAAAGTCCCATGTGCCTGTAATTTCACCAGGACCTTACCTTTCAAAACCGGGAACGCAGTGATACTGACATTACTGCTTAGCGGTAGAAATAGGTAAGGTGGCAGTGCTGCCCGAGACGAAATCTTTCACAAGGAGTTCTACTGCTACTAAAGTTTATTTTCTTTAAAAAATATCAACTATGCTTATTTTGTTTAAATGTATATAATATATGCCAATAAAACTTTAAAAAAATATAAATACCGTTGTTTATGATAAGGACGGCAAAAATACTGTCGTAACACAAAATTGTACACTTGAGAAAACACGATTTGAAAATTTAAAACAAATACTGAATGAATTGTATTGCAAATAATGTGATTATTTTTATTTATACATAATATTGAGTTATCCATTTATAATAGAGATTATAAATTTATTGGTTTCATTCAATCATTTTTTTAACCTTCAAAACGTGATTTATCAATTCCACAATGCTGCGTTACCACAGTATTTCGTTTCATGTGCGAAATATAATAAAACGTATCAATTTTTCATTGTGTTTCTTCGTTGTTTCCACTACATCTTCGTTGGTGGTGCTGGTTATTTTTTTCATAGACTCCCTGGCTCAAATCCAAGCGTTTGGTGGGCCGGGCTAATTTGAAGCGAAATGTCTCATAATAAAGATGTCAAAGTGTTGAATAATCCTATGCAAGGTTTCTAGATACAATCTTATTCGTGACGCTCTGATTGTGTGTGATAAGGCCCGCTTCACGACACAAATATTACTGTCCTCTTTTATAACCAGCCGAACAAACTTACGAATAACATATACACACAACAAAAGTGTCTAGAGATAAAGTTTTTTTGGTGTTAAACGTGATGAAATGGCGACAGGTCACAGGCAGTATTTGCGATTAGCGAATGCCCCTTAAGCTAAAGAGGAAAATATACAAGACCGTCATTAGACGTGTCGTACGGTATGAATCAGAATGTTGGGCGATGAAAAGGGAGGATGAACGAACTGTGCATGCGCCGGAAATGCGAATATTGAAATGCATGTGTGGTGTGACGAGAAAGGATAAGATAAGGAATGAGTATATCAAAGGAAGTTTGAAAGTGGCGCCAGTGGCGGAAAAGATGGGGGTAATTTGTTAGCGTGGTATGGACATGTCATGCAGAGGGAAGAATGACATGTGACGAGAAGCGTTAGGTATGAATGTGGAGGGATATAACGGGAAAGGAAGGCCAAAGAAAAGTTGGATGGATTGTGTGAAAGATGACATGGATAAGAAAGGTGTGAGTATGGAAATAACGGCTCATAGGATAGAGAGTGGCTGAAAAATACACGTTGTGCCGACCCCACCTAGCATGGGATAAGGATAGGAGAAGAGATTAAAAAAAAAATCAATGCGTTTATATACATATTTTTATTCGCATATTTAAAGAAAAATATATTGATCCCTAGACTCTTTTAATGTGTGTATTTGTCATGTTTGACATCAATGCTGTGACATACCGAGGAAATATTTTATTTGATGATGCACTTTTTGTTCCAGGACAAAAGAAGGTGGTTTGGCCACCCTTGCCTGAAACCAACGGCTATCATTCACCACAGTCACAGGTTATTTTATATTATTTGTTATAAAGGTGTGGGTTTACATAAGTAGTGTACATAGAACGCTAGTTCTTTTAAATGAACTATTCGCATAGCAAGAGCTTGTGGTGATGGAAAGGCACGTTAATGCATGAAATTTTGATACAATGCCCCCGATTTGTAAATGCAAAAATTTATACTGTTTCGATAAATTGGTGTCATTGTAAAGTCCTGTTCACAAAAATATATTAAGTTTAGCGAATTAATCCAACAGCAAACGTACAACGCGCAGCAGCAGCAGCAGTACCAGTCCCCACCCCCCTCTCAGCAGTCCCAATATCAACAACCTCAATACCAGAAACCTCAGTACCAGCAACAACAGAATCAGTATCAACAGCCCGAGTACGATCAGCCTCAGAGTCATTACCAGGCATCACAGCCGGCGCAAAGCGAAGGTCGCCGCCAACAAGCCACAGGGTTGAGCAAGCTCATCCCCTTTGGCCCTGGTGTGACCGCGTCCCCCGCTCCTCCCCGTCAAGGCCCCACTTCCCCGGGCGTAGCGCAGCCCTACAGACAGCAGAACACTCGTTGGGCCCCGGTGCCAGCCCCTCTTTCTCCACAGGTATCGGTCCTATAATGATATTGAAGTCATTGTCGTTTAGTTTGTTTTTTTAGTACCTTTGCGCATTTTCGTATAGAGGATAAGTAAAGTGGAGACACGACGATTTAAGCTGGCAGCACAACATAGATGGTGACATAATATGTGCATCCCACGTTCTAAATTCTGCTGAGCAAATTACAGAAATTACATAAAAGTATACCTACAACATTTTTCGTTGCACTAAGGTTCAGGGTTCGAAGTGATAATTTTATTGTCATGATGAGTATCACGATAATTATCTGGATAAATATACTTTGATAATTGATATTTATAAAATTAATTGGAACAACAAAATGCTACCGTTAGCAAAACGATATGACATGTGTTTATTTTGTATCAGAGACGTATACAAACGTGTCAAATGTCAAACTCAAAAATGTCACAGACCAAAGATTTTACTTCGTGTTAATTTAGTTTTCTCACTGTTTGTTATTTTAAGTCAAAATTTAAAGAGAAAGCTATGCATCACCGTGGATAATTAAAAAATATATATATCGGATAATTATCAGATAATTATTATGATAATTATCAAAGAAAATAAATAATTTGACAATTACGAACCCTGCAAGGTTGCATATACATTTGTTGATTCAAAGATAAACCATTTTGTAACGCATTTAAGTATAGGTACATAATTCTAGCTGCCGTGTCTTTACATTATGTACTTTTTTATAAATTGCATCTTTTCCCTCCCTTTTGCTTTGACTTTGATTTTGCAGACATTATAGAGGTAAGACTCGTAAGTTTGCATTCGAATATGCATGCTAGATTTTTATTAACACACGGTAAAGTCATAACGGAGATTATGACATTTTCAACTTTTACTAGCCTTTTATTGTCTGCGTTCGCTGTTTATTACTGTGCTTTATACTGATGCAGGTCTAATGAGGTCAATAAGAGTTTTATTTGGTTTATTTAATGGGGTATTCTAATAGCCGTATTCTAATAAAATACCTAAGTGTACCTTCAGGTCTCGGCAAATATTAACAGCTATTACTTAAGATATTTATTATTAATACAATGAGTGCTAGGCGAGTGTGATTTGCCTCTTACGTTCTACGATAATATTACGCTACTAGTTTAGACTTCACTCTATCACTGTGCTCAAGTGTTTGCCAGGGACAATACGTCTATCATCTTCTTTGTGCAGATATTTGTCATTTTATATAAAAATTGTACTACAAATTATGAAGTGATATTAAGAAACAGCTCTTATTGACTGCATAAATTAGATGATAGTATCACTTGATTTCTTTCGAAAAAGTATCAAATATCCATATTTTTTTAGGCATACGGATCTCAGCCGAATTATTCGCCCCAGCCGCAATACTCGCCTCATCAACAACAGTATTCGCCTCAACAACAACAGTATTCGCCTCAGCAACAGCAGTATTCGCCTCAAAAACAGCAGTACTCCCCTCAGCAACAGCAATACTCTCCCCAGCCGCAGTACTCGGAGCCGGCGTACCAGCCCCCCCAAAGGCAGTTCGAACCCCCGCCCGCAACTATCACGCTTCGTCAGAAACAACCGGTTCATCAAAAGCCCCCTCCAGTGTTCCCAAGTCAACCAGCTACAACGTCTTTTAAAGGTGAGAAGCGTTCGTGATTATCGTCTTATTTAAAATCATGTAGCAACGTAGCTATATAAAAAAATTAACTGATAAACAAGCGTTGTTACTCAAATGATTTTACGAGAAGCCGTCTGTGTTTTAATATATTGGCTACAATCCTTTACTACTTTCAACCAACAATAAGTCTATCAAATGCAATTATTTTTATAGCTTTAAGTATTTACGCGTCCGCGGCATTAGGTGTGCTACACTCGTATGATTATAAAACCATGTTAGATAAATAGTTAACTAAAAATGTTTAGAGGATGCCTTTTGACTTTAAATCGTCATACAGAGAGCGGGTGCGGGATGGACTTACTCGCCCGCCCTCGGTGTGTTGTCGTCCATAAAAATAATACACGGAATTATGTGTTTCACGCTTGATCTAATAACGCCATATCTGAAAAATGACAACTTTTCAGGAGACAGGTTAAAGATCCAACGACCGAAATTAGATGACAACTTTTGGTGCATAAATAGAGCTATAAAATTTCCAATACATCATTTGTTTCATTGTAGTTGATATTATTTTTTTGTGATAATACTTTTCACGTATGATCACTCATGTTCATGTGGCTTTATTGTACCCTGGGTGCGAATTGCTGGACGCAGACGCACCCTGCTCTCGTCATTTTGTTTCTCTTTTGCCAAAACGGAATCTGAACGAACGAAATGAATATTTACGACGACAACATAATGCAAAATGAGAAATTACGACGGGTTATAAAAAAAACAGGTGTGTATGTGACTTTTGATAAACAAAGGCAATAAATAGCAAAATATCATAAAATACTTTGCAAACGCATGTGTTCCACAATGTTGCAGCAAGTATATTGCCCCAATACTGTCTTTTTATACGTCGATTTAGAACAATTAGTTGCACCCTGCAAGACATTAACCTTTGATAACGGTTGCTGTAAGAACCTTCTTTATGTAGGTAGCCAGAAGAATGTGAGAGATTACGCGGCTTTACTATGTCAACACAATGGATTTGCACTTAATGGCTATATTGACTTAGTTAACATTATAAAATAGATAACTTAATGGATTTTGAATGGCTGTCTATTTTAAGGTTTCAAATACGTTACGTACCTACTGCTTTAAGTAACGGATTTTTAGTACTGGCCAACTTAAACGGTGTCGATTCAAATTTTGATATTTTGAAATTTATTTTTTCTTTATTTTAACCATTGAGTATATAACCAGAAATGGAGATGAAATAAGGGCGATCCGTCTCTGGCAACTTATCAGGCTAATGGACCTTATATCACTTTTAAATATGAACTCTCGTTTGCGCTGAAATCACAAATTAGAAGGCTGAAATAGTACAGCTGTATGTACGTTTCCGTATATTCCAAAAATATTCTATATTTATTGTAATACAGATAATATATCTAACAATGGGGCTGTTCCATTCAGTGGTGTGGGGAAAACAGCAAAATATCTAATCACATTTCACCGGTAATTAAATATGTAATTTTCTAATTTTTCTCCATTATAGCAAAGCTCAAGTTAACTGGTCGATTTGAAGTGAAACAATTGACGACACCTGTCAATTGTTTCGAAAGGAGATGTCACAGTAATGATTTGGCAGAATAGTTTTCAAACAAATTAAATAACATTTCGTCTCTATTTCTGGTTATATCCCCTCGATGGTTTCAAAAGATTTCAAAAGTCCTCAATTCGACTGTGTTTTGTTTTTGTATATATTACGCAATTATTCCGACATTTTGTGAATCGATTTCGATGAATATTTTTTGTTGGGAAGGGGTTACCTTAGTAGTGGTCTCATTTAAATTTAAAGAAAATATTCCACCTCTAAGGATGGCAAATTAGGTGATGAATCCAGTTTATTGGATTACGCCCACTTTAAGATGAGTGATTACAATATAAAACTTGGTAAATAAATCAAACTTTTGAGGTTGGTATTTTTTTAAACTAGTTATAATTAAATTGTACAAGCTTTTTCAGCATAGTAACTTATGCAACTTCCTTGCAGTATAATGTCGCGCGAGTGATACAATTTGTACATTTATGAAAATGTCATCTATATTAAGAAGAATAGTAATTTTGTATGGAAAATAGTGACAGACATAACATTATTACGAGATATAATTATATCTTTTCTATGTAAAAAATCGACCTCAAAAGTTCGAGGAATTACATTTATTTGCAAAATATTATTGAAATCGGTTACCGGAAAGTGCGAGAAACCGGATTGATCTCCCAGTTTGCCACCTTTAGAGGCAGAATATTTTCTTCTTTATAAATGGGATCAATAGAGGTACCCTCTTTCCAACAAAAAAAGAATCATCAAAATTAGTTCACAAGTTATCGCGTAACTTGCACAAAAAAATACAGTCGAATTGAGAAACTCCTCCTTTTTTGAAGTCAGTTAAAAACAAACTGACTGTTCTTGACAGTTGTTGTCACAAAGTCACAAATTCGTTAGGGACAATATATAAAAACGAATAGTAAAAAAAGAACTTTGCACTAAAAGTTATTTATTATACAGCTTTTGCGTACATCGATGACAAAAATCCTTGGTCACTACCCGTTGGCCCCTTGCAGGTTGTATCGATCTATCATAATGGAAATATTGTAAATATGTGTACTTTTTTTATAATATTAATTGACGCGACGAACAAGTCGTGCACCTGATGGTAAGCTACCACTCAGGACTTCAAATCGCAAAGATCTGAGGGGCACTGCCACTGCACCCGTCACCCAATTGACAAGTCCCATGTGAATGTAATTTCACCAATACCCTTCTAAACCGGAACGCAGTAATGCTAACATTACTGCTTGGCGACAGATACAGGTAAGGTGGCAGTACTTCCCTCGACGAACTCTTTCACAAGAAGCTCTACTGCTGTTAATGCAAATGTTTTTATATAAAAGCAACATTTAGAGTTACTTATTAGGGTAATAGGTTATTGAGCGGTAGAGTTTAATCAATATGATGATTTCAAGTTTACCCTAATAAGGTCACATCTACGAAATGCTAACTTTTCAGGAGACGGATTTAAAGATTCCCCCAAAGACGTTAAACGCTAACTTTTTATGCTAAAACGGGAGAGTTATTATTTCATGTAGTTCGTATTATTATTCTTTGGACGGATGGTTGCATGTGGTATATTATAGGTACCAAGAGTACTATATATTTGATTTTGAAACACACCCAAGAAATAAACCATCGCAGGATTAATTATTCGCGCAAATGAACCGTTGCGCTTTTAAGCATTCGCGCAACAGTCCATTCGTGAAAATAAGCCGTCGCGCATTCAAGTTTGCGCGCAGCCGTCTTTGCACTATCGTTATTTACGCAATCGGCATTCGCACTCACGTAGGGAACCCATTGTCATATTCATACTTATAATATTACGACGACCTCCGTGTTCGAGAGGCTTGCACACCGGTTTTTATAGTGCCGCCATCTCTGAGGTCCCGGGTTCGATCCCCGGTCGAGTTAATGTAGAAAACTAACTTTTCTATATTGTCTCGGGTCTGGGTGTTTGTGGTAGCGTCGCTGTTTCCGATTTCCGTGCTGCAAGTGCTTTAGTTACTTGCATTGGGGTCGGAGCAACGTATCCGATGCTGTCTACTATTTAATTTTATAGGTATTATATTATGAAATATGTATGTGTCTAAGTATTTATCTAGTTTATAATAGTTTCATGTTATTAATATTGTATTACACAATTTTCTTTTTTGTGCACGTAAGCCCGTATTGTAGTTATTTCGGCTTGCATTTAGGTTTGCAAGAAGAAATTTCTTATAGACATAAGCAGTACCTTTTGTTTGTGTTATCCTTTTATTAAATGTAATTTGTGTTTTTTTCCTGTGCAATAAATAATAAAATTAATATTGCTGTACAGGAGGAGTCAATATGCGTGGAGACCAGAAGTGGCCACCGCAGTCGGTGAAGGAGGCTGTGGAAGCCGAAAATGAGGCCAGGAGGCAACTTGCCAAGGGCCCAGCCTGTCGGCCACGTAAGGTGAGGAAAACTATATTTCACCGATAAGTACTGTAAAGATACGTGTCTTAAGGACATGCCGGTAAAAATTATTAAAATGAACAAAGCGCATAAAACTGTGTGCTGCTAAATAAAAACGCTAATATAAAAACATAACAGTGCATGCTGTATATAAATCATATGTAACTTGTATATATTATTTAATTTATTTTAATATATAGGTACATATTTTTTACTTTAAAATACAAAATGTAACACTAGTTTAGTAATTAAAATTAAACTTTGTTCTTAATTACTTTATAATCAACTGCCTATTCCTCTTCCGATTTCTTGTTTAGGTATATTGTTCACGTCTTAAAATAACTCCAATTAAAAAGCCGTTATAAAGTAACTTTTAAAAATTGTAATGAAAAACTAGAAATAAAACGTGATATGTTCAAAGAATGAATTGTTCCATATACGACAAATTTTATGTTCGAAATGTCCTCTCGTGAATAATCCGAAATTAACAAAATATCAGCCAGGTACAGTTGATGCCCTAAGATACCTGATCTCGTAACAGACGATTTAGTGTGAGGAAAGGTGTTAAACAAACTTAACCTTTAATCCATGAGCCGCAAAATGCATTTTGATATGATCCTCGGTGTATTATTATTAGCGAATGACGTTTTAAGAAACTTCTTAAACCAATTTCAGCAGCAGTACAGCTCCTTGTGAAAGAGTTCGTCCAGGGAAGTACTGCCACCTTACCTGTTTCTGCCGCCAAGCAGTAATATTAGCATTACTGTGTTCCGGTTTTAAAGGGTAAGGGTGTTGGTGAAGTTACAGGCACATGGGACTTATCAACTTATGTCTCAGGGTGTCGGGCGCAGTGGCACTGTAATTGTTATGGACAGGCGTGTACCTTACCATCCGGCGCACGACTTGTTCCTCCCGTTACATAATATTATAAAAAGGACATATAATTACATTACATAAATGAAATATAAACTTTAATCAAAACGTTGAAACTGAAATTCCTTTACACTTTTCTGTTGAATGCGTAATCAAGCTCTCAGGGGGTCAGGTATCTTAGGTCATCGACTGTACTTCAGTTTTCAACGTAAATATGTACACGGTTTTAACCTAGTTTAAAGTTAACTTCCTACGAATATAATATAATAGTTTACGGGAACAGTTTACTTTTTTTTGTTGTTCAATAAACGATATACATACAGAATTTTTATCAGCGCTAATAGGTATTATAAGGACATTTTGAATACAATTGTTTGCCATCTAATCCAAGCGGTTTAATATACTATATCCGACACTTGAAAGTATCGGATTTAGTATACGATTCAACACTCTACAACTATCGGATATAATGTAATGTCAAATATGGAACAGATCAATTCTGGATTATGGCGGATATGGAGCAAGTGATCGTTGTTTGTTCTAGCTGAAGCAATATTCGCTCGCAGAACTCATTGCGATGAACGAGGTTTAGGCGTCGTTCGGTCTAAGGACATTAATACTTATTGTAAGTGGCGTATGGACCGGTGTTGCTTGGTCGTGATTTAACACGGCATTTGACTTTAATAGAGACAAAGTAGTTGCCACTTTAATATCGCTGCGGACAGGGTTGGAGGTGAAGCGAAACGCAAGAAATATTAGGAGACAATAAATAAACCTATTAATATCTTAAAAATGAATTTGTTACCAGTTTTCAGATATAAAGTTTAGGTTCTTGCCTGCGTACTATAATTTAAAAATAAAACAAATTTACTAGATACCTTAGATGTTTCCTTAGCAAGCCTAAAGTGTTAATGTTGAAAAGCCATGAAATCATCGAAGACTTCTTACTGAAACTAATTAGTTTTTACAATATTCTCTCGACAATACAACCTAGTAATAACCAATTACGTACAATCCGATTACGACATTGTTCAATTTACAAACTGTCTTTGAAGCGATGAGACAATCGAAATATGTATTGGACGTAATACAAATTTTCCGAGAAACAGTATAACTGCTTGCCTACTTCGCTCCGCCTTAGAAATCCTTCAAAAGACCCTGTGTAGGCTTCGCTCTACTTTTTCCAGAATCATGTATCACGTAATAGATTTAATAAATCATTTTATACATACTGATATTCATTTTCTTTCTCCTTACTATTGGCTTCGCGTTGTAGTCGGAGAAAATGCATGTTCAATCGTTTTACTCTATTACCTTTTTCATAGGTAGTAAAAGAAACGTCTACAGCCTTTTTCTATAATATTTCTATCAAAAAAATATGAAGTATTGACGGCAGTTCCTGAAGTAGTGTCATTTCATGAAGTTCATTAATAATTATATCAATAACTTTATAATTCAACAAATAAGTTTCTATCTAATCCCGTTTTGTGTATGTACCTACTTTATAAAACGTACGATTATACGTGTTTTTAACTAGATGTTTTTGATAATGCAAAAAACCTTACCAAAAAATATCCTTATGCAATTATATATAAAATTTAAATTGCAGGTACGCAAGGACTACACTTCCTTCTTTGCGCAGCACGCGCTCGGCCACAACTACCCTGGCTACCGTGCCCCTCCAGGCACTCAACACTACGAAGAACATTCTGGAAGATCATCTTATTAAATCGCTACTAATCCAAGATGAAGTTCATTTAAGACTCGCATGAGAAGTACCTACTATCTGTCTCTTTCTTGTGTAGAGAAATAAACCTCTCGTCACACGTGAGGAACAGTGATGATATCCATCGGGTCTCGAGTCAACTTCTCTTCTGAAAGAAGATTCATTCAAAATGCTGTTCAAATTTCATAACATATGGACTAATTTCCCTTTGACGTTTTTAATGTGTATAAGCGTGTCGTTAATTAAGAGGACAATCACATTTTAAACTTCAATACAATGTTCAAGGAATTCATTTCATTTTCATCACAAGGGCAACGGAAGGCAAACGAAGTCATATACTTCGAAGTGTAAGTACTTGTACAAGGCTTTAGGTATTAAAGTCTGACCGCATGTACAAGAACTATTGAATTAATATTATGTAGGTGTAATTTATTTCTAAACATCTAGTTTTTAAGTTATTAATAAAACAAAAATAAGAAAATACAAAAAATAGTACGCCATTAATTAATCGCTGTCTCTTTAATTTTTTGCGATTTCTACGATGTAAACGTGCGGCTTTATACATTGCGAACTTGCGACATTGTTTTTCAATGCTTCTTAATACATACCCGACTGTAAATAATGCTCAGACCAATATTATAAATTGTCTATTAAGGCCCACTTATATTAGAGTTCATAGTACCCCTACCCCATTGGGCTTTATTGCGAGTATGCTTACACAAGTCATATGACTACCTATGTGGGGTGTGTGCTGTAGGAGAAAACAGTTTAAATAGCACGCCATGTAGTCGTAGTGAAGTTAATTTGACGTAGTTGTGTTCCATTATAACAAACTAGTGGAGTAATTTCACAAAAATAATTGTATATCAATTCAATACAAATTTAATTACAGTGAATAGCAACATCTTTAGCCAGGGCTGGTAGCTGTAAAGGTATTTATCTAACTGGGCGATGAAATAATTTCTTAGATTTCTCATAGATGGCGCTACGGCTAAAGTCGTTAAAAACCAAATTCAAGATCCGACAACAAAGCTCACAAAAATTCGTGAGGTCCGCTGGTTCGTTCAGTGGCTTAGTTGGCATAGTATCTGGCACGGTTTGCTAGAAGACGTCGGTTCGAATCCGGCCGGATCGATGAATTTTTTTCTAAGTGTTCCCTCTTTGTATTAATAGTTATAATGGTAAAATTTAGAAATGATGTCTAAATATTCTTTACTGGTCAATTGGGCTTTAATGGATTACAAATAAGATATTTTTAACATTGGATAATAAAAATTGTAATTAAACACGCTTCTGCCAAAGTAATTAACAATATGACAATATTATTCGTATTCATGTTATTGGCTTAATGTGAAACTACCTAGTCATGCGAGATTAAACAAAAGTATTTTGTATATATAAAATTGTTGATCTGATATTTCATTATGTTATTTATATTTTAATGAAATAAAGAATGTAAAAACTATATTTGTTTTTTTCATCCAATATTCTTTTTTGTTTTTATGATATTTAAATCTCTCTTTCGAGGGGAACTGCCACTGCGTCAGTCACATAAAATTGAAGTCGGATATACATTCTGACGTGTCGTGTCGTGACGCGTCAGAACGGTATCGGTTTCATACACACAGCACAAGCCGTCACGATGCGACACACTTGTGACGATGTGACCTCTTTACACCGTCATCTCACGTTTTTATCGCCTTTTCTCCGGTTACTGGCCACTCGTTTTTAAATTTTGTATCTTTTTTTAATTCCTTTGCCTCGCCATTTTGATTTTATTTCGTTTCATCGTCACTCCCTGCCCGATCGCGGCAGCGAATACGTCTTCTCATTAATTTTTTTTTTGACCAGTTTACCAGTTACCGAAAATCTCTTGTGCGATAAACATTTTAAAGATCACAAGTGTTCATAAAACGGGTATAATATTTGTAAAACTGGATTTATTACTTATTTACCCTTTTGAATTTTGAACTTTAAGCCCGCTAAGCAAGATGTGTGGAGGCTGCGGAGGCTACTACTCTCCTGGCTATATTACAATTCATAGGACATGCTTAAGCAAAGCTAGCAACGCGCGTTTCACACTAATATAAATCTAACCATAAGAAATGTATGAATCCGATACCGTTCTGACGCGTCACGACACGTCACGTCATACTAATGTAAATCCGGCTTAAGTGCCTGTAGTTTAACCAGCATTACCCTTATATCATACCCTTCAAAACCGGAACACAATAATGCTCACATTACTGCTTGGTGGCAGAAACAGGTGCGGTGACAATACTTCCCTGGATGAACTCTTTCACAAGAAGCTTTACTGCTACGATTAATACTAGAAAATTAATGACTGCGAGGCAATACTACGGTGGGTCACAGATATTTAAACATATTACGTAGATGTTACAAAAATATCTTGATTAGAAATTGAACCTCTGTTCGGAAAGATTCGTACAATTTTTCCATTTCAAAACTCGACAGGGGCCACACCATAAATTTAGTATATAGTAGATCGATTTAGTATATTACCTACATACTAAATCGATGGGGCACACTAATTTTAGCGTGTCGGATTTGGACACACTAAAAGTGAAAAAAAACTGAAATGTCGGGCGATACAATGATACAGACAAATAATATAATCAAATTCGTTAATGTATCTTCAGATATAGTAAATGGTCCTACCATTCACCTAACGTCAACTCACAGTTGAATTGACAGTAGGTGAATCGATTGATTCAACGGAAGGTTAGTTTAGTTCATCATTTTAAAATTATGTGAAGCATCCCTGTATACTTTAAACACCCGACTTAAGGATTGTGTCACCGAAATGTCGTCCCAATTACAACTGTTCTTAATGTGCGATTTGCCATTAATGATTTAATCGTGTTGATACACGACAGCGGACATAGGAATCAGAATCTAAATTAAAACAAATTGGACTTTGAAAAATGAAATTCCCTTTAAATAAATAATAACAATGATAATGCTAGACAACTACAGGACTTACCTGGTCTGAAACTAGGAACTACTCTGAGCTATGAGCACCGCTGACAGTGTACACGGGGCACTACCCATATCACTCCAACTAGAAGTAATTTAGAAAATTTCAAACATTCGCTGTTCATTTCGGACTTACTGTGCTAACTGCTAAACCATAAAGGTCGTTAAGGTAAATAAAAACACAAATTCAGTAAGAAAATAACATGTAATATTACTATTATACAATAGATACACTGTGTACAATTCACACTGTTTCTAGTTCGAGGTGCTTCATAAATACTTCCAAAATATCAAAAGCAACTAGCCAAACTACATTCTAGCTAGTTTTATGTACAACATGTACAATTTTTATAGCAATTTCTATTACGCGTCTTAGCGGCAACCATGAAATAAATCAACTTTAGACCGAAAAATATATCAGGTGAAACTAAATGGCTTGTCTTTTTTTACTACACTCTGGCTGGTCACTAGTTGGCGAATGTTGGATGTTGTAGGGCCTTTAACGTGCCGTGAGTTTACAGTGACAGAATATTTCACAACTTTGTATGGCAATTTACTGCTCCTAGAGGTCGCCAGAGGTACCTCTAGCGACAACTTGCTGCACGCTAACGGTAGTTGAACTTGCTTTAGAGAAAAAAAATATTATTCTGTTCGAATATTCAGTCATATATTATTATTATATGTCATAAATAAAGGCCTCTGCTATAGGGCAAAATAATGAGTGATTCTCTCGCTGTGTTTGGGCGAAAATATTTTCCGTTTTTTTTTGTGTCCAATAAAAATAAGCACTTTATTAAAAATAATAAAACAATGTCATGTCATGTGTTTTGCGAATAATGTCTTATCAAATGTAGAGGATTTTTTACCAAAGTATTCACTCTTGAGTATTCAGAGTTTGAACCAGAGCAAACATTGAATAAAAAAAAAGTACGTACCTCTTTGTCTCTCTTAGTTATCAAATAAATGTTTGATATAATATTTGGATATATCATAGTTCATTCACGATGGTCATTATATAAAAGATTTTCAATCATTCGATTTTAAAAAAAACTAAAGATTTTTAAAATTCATTCATGTCCATTTCATGGTCGCGCTATACTAACAGTATTGTCAAGAAAGTGAAAATTGTATCTAAATAATATCACAGTACCACGGCATACTTAACTATTTCAAACATGTGAGGCGCGACTCATGCTGATGTGATTATACCTTTCAATAGGGTTATTTAAGACATCGTAACGTTTTAGTGTATTTCATATTTAATATTCAAGTTGCGTATCTTGCTCCAATTAATACCTTCAATGAACTTAGGAACGATACTATCCTTTTAAGTTTAAAAACAGTACAGAAGGATAGAGGCATTTTTCTACTATCATTAACCCAATTGATAACAGAACCGACTTTTAAATATCATTTATCAAAACTTCAACATTTCTATAATAACAAAATTAAATAAATAACAATATTGATTCAAATACTTATAAACAATAAAATATTTATCAACAATGTTACAAATTTTGTTTTTTGTGAAGGCACAAAAATTAATATTGAAACGTTTCTCAACAAGCCAAAACAATTCGTTTATGACAATGGAACGATCTTACAACTTAATATTTTATTTCTAACAGTGTAAATTAAATTTCAAAAACAAATTGTTTAAAAATTAAAGGAAACAAGTTATTTCCGGACCTCCCAATAGTGGCGGTATTATTAGGTTATGATACAATATACTTGAAAAAAAAAAAGTAAGTAACTTATTGCAATAAGTCTGCGTGAAGCAAAGGGATGAAAGCGACGTTTGGGAATTTTTTTAATTTTAATTTAAAAAAAAAGTCTTGAAAATGCACTTATTACTATGTTAATGTAAATAAAATACAAAGAATCACTCACCCCGCGTAAGTTAGCAAAAATATTTACATTATTACTATATTTTAATTATTTTTCTGTTTATTCTAATAAATATCAGTAGTTGCTTGATTTAAGATCGAGACAGTAAAATTATTTCTGTAGCGAGTGATAGTGACGCGTGATAGTGATATGGACGCATGCAAAGTGCGGATACGACGATAGTAGGCAGTAAAGTAATCAATTACCTGTTCTAAGTTTCCTTTTATCTAATATATATTATTAGCTTTGTATAGAAGATGACTATTAATTATAATCTTTAAATCATTTTTAAAACTGTGAACAAATTTATTACCATAGAAATAGTATTGTTCTAAGGTAGATAATATATTACTTAAAAATATTTTTCACGTTTTTCATTCTGTTCCAAAAAATTGTAATCTGTGCACCGGCAAAACACGTGTCGCGCGACAGCTTTCAATAGTCGATTACTATGAACGTAACATATCTTGTGTATAAGATCATCGTTATTAGGTGTTTTAGATTCTCCAAGCGAGGGCGAGGGTCCTAAATTTAATTTGTTTCCTTTAGTAATTTTCTAGTCAATTGACATAATTTAGCATCTCAGCGGAACCAGCCACCAACTCATGTTTCGTAGCTCTCGCCAGTTCACTCTGTATAAAATAAAACTTTGTCTATACTCTCACTTCAAAGAGACGAGCTTATGAGAAAGAAAGAGAACTCATATATGGTAGAACTCTCACATTATCGCATAAAGCTATTCTCTCTCTGGTAGGTCAATACAAGTAAATGTCCTGTCATTGTATTGGTGTCAAGTCACTCATGAGGTGCCCATTTACGTCATCAGCATAACAACATCATTCATTTATAAATGCATGCGGTCTATTCGCTAATTGAGTCTTCCGTAGTGTAATTTATCTTAAAATTAAGTCTAAAAGCGTTCAAACCGCGTTGAATAACATCATACTAGAACGAATATTCAGTCTTAAGCCTGAAATTATCGCACATATAATAACATATTCTATAAACAAGTAAGCTGATAAAGCTAAACCTTAAATTAAAAACAACCAATCAAAGCGCTGAATTGTAATTGACGTAAGGTGTGTGTTTGATTTTGATTGGCTAATGTATAAAACGCCACCTATTGGAATAAATTCTCATTTTTAAAAATTCTCAACATTACTAATTTATGTAAATGTAACGAAAGCTTTAATTTTTGCGACCATTATTTGAAGTAGCTAATTTACGTAACTTTAATTAAAGTTTTTATTTGCTTATCACTTTCTATAGTAAATTTGTTCATTAGTTTGTTTAATTTTTTGTGACTATTCGTTCAACATTTTCAACTATGTACCTAGCTATGTAGAGGTAGATAAAAAGGCACACGAATACACCAATATACTGTCTAATATTGGAACTATGAAATGAAAATTACGATTATCACTCTTGTATTTATAAGAAAACCTTCATGAATGTAAACAATTCGTGTTTATAATCATTAACAACTTGGTAACTTTTTTTTGAAAGCCTAACCTAATCACGTCGACAGTTTATACAAATTGATATCTTGTAGGACTGCTTGAAATAACGAAAGAATTCCAATGTATATAACGAACACTTTCAATGATAATTATTTGTATATTATATGATACAGCTCATACTGAATGCGGCCGAAAACCGTAGTTTTTAGAGATTGCTCCAATAAGAGCTCGTTTAGAATATACCAAATTTATTCAAATGTTTATGAAGCCAGAGTAGTACGGGCATAACGGAGAACCAATAATTGAAGAAAATCAAGAAGCGTTCTGAAAACATCCGTTTCAAATCCAATAAGAGAATCCACATTCAGACTTCGGTCTGTACCTGTAAATCCACGTTATGAAAGTAGGGCTCAGACCAGCGAGAAACCCTGCGTCTGTTGTATTGCTTGTGTGAGGTAGTATTTAAGGCGTTCTTTCGTCTTGTACCGTGGGAGATCAAGAAGATTGAAGCAGGTGTGAGCTACTGGGTAGTATCGGTCATCTGCTACGGGCTGGATGCGGATCTAGAATTCAAATATGTATATTAAGTAGAGTTTAATAAATATGACGATTTCAAGTGTAATTTGCTTACATATGAAATAAAGTTGGTTTGATTTTGAGATTGAGGTTTGAAAATTGGCGATTATCCTCCGGCATTCTATCAGACATCGGGGTAACGACCCCTTAAGTAAGTTTTTGTTGAGATTTTTAATAATACACCACCACAACAGTCGCCTATCATAGCGCTCAAAAATTTAACCATCTGAAAGCTGTCGGCCATTACACAAGCTTTCTGTACGTTGCAATACCGTACATTATATTTATGCAACATTTTACGTGTCCAACATAAAGAATTCAATTATTATGTTATTAAGTCACCAAAAAACTACACAACAAATAAAAAAAATCAACAAGAACCAAACAAAAAGTTAACATTAAAGCATAAAATCAACTGTAACCATAACGAAATTGGAACAATTTATCTAAACACAAAATGCAAAACAAAAGAAAGCGACCAGCTTACAAGGTGTTTGCACTCATATTGACGTGTTTATGGGCAATAGCCGATTCGATTTTACGGTGTAAATCTCCGTCAAATAATTGGGTCATTTAATTTTATCTTTATCATTTCATTATCTTTCTACTTAATATACTGTAATTTTTATTAAAAATTACAACCGCAACCAACATTATTTGTTTTTGGTACATTATGACAAATTTATTATTTCTTTTTGTAACCTGGTTGAGAGATTAGTTAGAAATAGTATGCGTGCAATGAAAAATTGTCGCCTTACTTTCTCAAACTGGTATTTTAAAGCACAAAGTTATTGAAATGCAAAAAATGGATCGTATATACAAAAGTTGCAGGCTGATTTCAGATCACATTTCCTTCATATTCACACTGGCTTTTACCAATTCTTAAAAAAATACATCTAAATTGACACCCTTGATAAGAAATTTAAAATAAATAGAAAATTAAGCCTTCTCCTGAATAATCACTCATTATAAGATATGACTTTGAGAAAGTAAGGCATAAAAATGGGAAATGTCACAAGATTCGTCCTATGTGAAATGGTCTATAATAAACATTTTCAAAAGTAATCATACTGTGATGTTCAAGTCTATGGAATCACGTACATGTTTATCTTTAAAAGCAAACCGACAAGATAAGTGAAAAGATAGTTCAGTAGGATGAATTTGAATCTCCGCACCGTTGCGCTCGAGGCGATAGCCTATTCATAAGGATCAAGATATAAACAAATGTACTCACTTTGATGTCCCTCATACCCTGTATCGGCACTCTGTCGCTACCGGTGAGGAAAAGCAGGAACTTCTTCTTGTCTTCCAGCGTTAGCTCGTGGAATACCTCCCAGAACCATCTACGAGAGTAATTATGTTTTATGTAAATATCTCGTTATCTTAATAGCAATATGAAAATTTAGTGTTCAGTGTCTCGCTGGGTTTTTCACAATTAACCATTGTGAAAAAGTTGGTAATAAAAATAAGGCTTTCAACTATCAGAATCCCTGCTTAAAGTACACTCGATCACTGCCGTAGGACGTTTATATATTGATCTAATTGCACATTTTACAATTAATAGCAGAAGAGGTAGAGTTTTTTTAACACTAGTGATTATCTAGAGGTGTTCAGCCTAGTCTTGTTGCCCTAGTTATTAATCCAGCTGTCCATAATCCGTTTGCGTACATGTACCACTTCAAACCTAGTTTTATGTAATACATTTTTATGTATGGACCCCACTCACCCTAGTATCTTTTAGGCCAAACAGTTTAGTTATTTTCCAATGGAAGCTTACTTTCATCAGAATAAAATAAAAAATAGTAGCAGTAGAGGTCATTGTGAAAGAGTTAGTCCAGAGACGTACTGCCACTTTACTTATTTCTGCCCTCAAGCTACTGCTTGCCGGAACCGGCACTTCAAACCGGAACGCAGTAATACTAACATTCCTGTTATGTTATCATTACTGCGTTCCGGTTTAGAAGGGCAAGAGTCCTGGTGAAATTACAGGCACATGGGACTTGTCAACTTAGACTTTTGCGATTTAAACCTATGAGTGGCACTGCAACTGTTATGGACAGGCGTGGAGCTTCCCATCAGTCGCACGACTTGCTCATCCCGTCACTTGATATTATAAAAAAAAAAATGTTTACCTGCATTCCTTATCTTGTGGGTGGAATCCGTTTTTGTACTCGCAGTTGCTTTCAAAGACGTCCCAATCGTACTCCTCGTTGCCAATCACTACCGACATCAGCTCATGCGACCGGAACAGCTTTATTATCCTGCCGCCGCATACCTGTTATGTCCAGTACACAGATCTTACTAATAAGGAATACATAGCGATGTATTATAATATTATAAACTAATACACTTGAGTACAAATAAATAGACGTCTATTGACGTTGGAAATAAATCTTGACTTGATATAAATTACTGCCAGCGCCATCTGACGACATCGTTGTTGTATTAAGTAAGGTCATCAGAAAGAAAGATCGCTTATCGTAATTCAAATTACTGTAAGCGCCACACGAAGGAAGATCATATGTTGTACCACTACACCATATCGCATATGAAATCAAATACTGTATTAACGTAAAATTGTGAAATTGGGAATTACTATTTTTTTCTATACACAAAGAAAGTCCACGTATAATTAATGTCGCGAATAACGCGATAATCAATCATTTGGTGAGTAAACGAAATTCACCCATTTTTTATATTGTGGTAACACTGCTTTGCCTTTGCTAACATGTTATTTTGACACTATCGAGACGGCAGTAAGGTCAACTGGCTGTGTAAGTGAATGTACCCTAAGAGACAAACAACTGGTAAGTTCCTCTATGTACTGTTTAACATTACGACATGCACACGGTGGAAAGACACACAACTAAGTTAATTGTCGAGTTTAATATTGTAACGAAACATGTTCTATGACTATGAATTTGCCACGTGCTGACTCGACCCGCAATAGACTAGCCTCATTGACGCTTATGACTGTAGGTGCTTATCGTTGTCATCAATCGGATCGGTAGTAGCTGGCATGTACGCTTGCACCGCGATTACTAGCTATCGAAGCTTAAAACCTGTTGGGCAGAGGTTGGACTAAAGGGGAGGCTGGAGGCCCCGAGTGGACGGGGCACTTCGCAAGGTGTCCCGCCCCAGTACACAGGCGAGATGTGGTGGGGGTAAACGTATATTATAATAATAAAGGAACAGTAAATTGACCTTCTAATAAAAATGGAAGTAAAGGAAGTAAAATTTGGTGGTGGTGTTTGTGACTGTAGTTGCGCTTGTTATTTATTTTAGTAATTTTATGCGGAGGAAGGGTGTGAAAATTAACCATGAAAAAAAATTCAACACAAGCGCAGCTATTTTGCACGATTTAACCGTCTCTGGGTACGCGGAGTAGTAAATTAATTTACTTCCATTTTATAAACATGCGACTTCCGCAAAGTAACGCCTGAATCTATGAATTGCTTAACTCACCTTCTGGAAGCCCTGATTGAAAGCTTTGAACTGGTTCTCCACGGACTTGTTTAACAAGAAATCGACGTACATCTCCACATACTCGTCTTTGTTTTCATATGTGACTGAGATGTTTACGCCATTCTCTTTAAGTGGGTGCACTTGGATCTCGTCGAATACCACTGTGTTTACAGCAAAGCACAGGCCGAACACCTGCATAGACAAAACGCAAATTCTACTGTTTCAATAATAATATAATAATACTTAGTTTGGTATAGATAAAAGTAATATTTTCACTAGAAGAAATAAAACGGACAAGAGGGAATATTTAAACGACAAATATTATTTCGAGTTATTAGCTTTTCGCGAGTGTTACAAATTGGAAATGAAACTATTTTCTCAGATATAAATCGCGTATATTTGTTTCTCAAACAAACAAGTCAGCAATGATCATGAGACCTGTAAAAACACCGAAACGCGATGTAGATCTGGAAATTTAATTCCATTTTCAAATATAATTCCGTTAATACGCTAAGATTATCTCAGCTTAGAGATAATGAGGAAATCCTATAGGCGGTTTTAACACTCTTTTCTTTCTTACTTCAGTACATTACGGGTCTAAAAATTTTAATAGGAAATAAGTTTACTATACACTGACCTAGAATCCAAAACTTTTTGTAAACAAAGAAATTTCAATATAAAAAAGGATCAATATAGTAGCAATGGCGTGTGGTTTTGCTTGTGCCGTAGATAAAATATTAATTTAAGTGCTGATTTCTACAATCAAACGTTGACACTCAAAACAATTTGTAATAATACAAACACAACAACAAAGTTGAAAAATTAACAGTAACTGATAAGTGATAACACTAAAAGACGACAAGAAGGTAACACTTAAAAACCATAACAAACAATAACAACAACGTAAATAGCGAAAAGCTATCAAAACCAAAAATTGTTTCGAGCTTATGCTATTCGCTTCGATGACAGCAGTGTCGTGAAATATTTTCTACCAACATTTCCACGTCTTTTTACAACTTTGTCAAAAAAATAACTTCGCAAAAATCAATACGTCAAAATCATTTTACGACCACTTTAGCTAGAATATAAACCTTAACTTATGTTTTAGACAAATTGAGTAAACGTTTATTTGGAAAGTATTTTCTTTAGTGTAGTAACCCCTATGTTTATATCTCTTGGATTCCAGGTCAGAGTATAAAATAGTTGTTTACCGTATAATAATAATAAGTAGTGAAAAAAAAATTAAACAATTATTTTAAAGTAAAACTAATCTTCCAAGACATACATCTTCAACATCCTCATCAGGATACTCCAGCAGCTGCTTCAAACTATTAGCCAGAGTCGGATACAGGTCATGCAAGTCGTCCAACATTACAGTCTCGCCAAGCAATTTTTTGTACAGCACCAAGGGGAACGGTACGTAGATTATTATAGAGTTGTAGATTGCGAGGCCGTAGATCGCACCTGGAAAGTTGGGACTGTATAATACACTTGATACCATAAATTAGATTAAGTTAAAGTAGTGGCTTCTAGAAAAACAATTCTGTGTCTTTAAAGAATTCCTTATTTCTTAAAATCAAATGTCACTATGTAATTTCTATCGAATCTTTGATTATTTGTTATTAAGTCAATTTTATTTTTAGGATTTTAAATAAATATATGTTACGGTAAATGGTATAGATAACTGACCAGTAACGTATAACATTGTTACCAATAAATAATTTCATTTCATTTTTCAATAAATAAATATCATGAATCTAATATTCATTTCAACATCACAAACGTTGCTCTGATCCAAAGTAAGTAGCTAAAGCACTTGTGTTATGTAAATCGGAAACAACGATGTGTGGTACCGCCACATACACCCAGACCCGAGACAACATAGAAAAGTTTGTTTTCTACATCGATCCCCAGGGACCCACTCTAACCTATAAGGAGTCCATGTAAGGGGGAAAAAAGAAGATGCATGCGACATTAATAGGTTAGTGTGGACCCCATGTAAGCAGCTCGTGACCAAATTTTGGGATTTCCATAAATGGAATACATACATAATACTTTCTTCTAATAGACATAGAAATTACCCAAGTAAGCATTTCACAACAAATTAGATATGGTAGCTAAATTCGGTAAGATAACTGTAGAAGTCTTAACATGTGTTTTTTCATATAAATTTCTCACTGTACAATGGTAGGTCAATTTTACAATAAAACATCAAAATGAGTAGCACTGTGCTAACTGTCAAAAACTCATTTGAAGTTGATAAATTTGAAAAAATAATCCTTATTACATAGGCAGTGGTCTACGCAAAACAGAAAAAAATGTGAATGGCCACTTTTAACTAGCGCCTAACATTTCGATTTTTCTATTGAATATCATTAAGCTTTACTACAATTATAAATAAAAATTTTTTTTCGTGAAATTACTCTACTACTTTCTTATAATTACAAAGAAAATTTCTTCCATCTGACAGGACTCGAAATTGCGTATGCCAAACTAGGGCCACCGGTCTATCAACCGAGCTAGAGTCCTATCAGATCGAAGGATTATTTTTTTGTGTTGGATCTTTGTGTATTAACAATCTAACATTTTGTTACTTAGTAATAAGTCGTCAAAAATCAAAAATAAAGATCAGCAACAAGGACAGAAAAATTCGTAATGTCCGCTAGTTCGTTACGTGGCTTAGTTGGCATAACATCTGGCACGGTTTGCTGGATGATGATGTTTCGAATCCAGCCGGATCGTTGTGTTGGATCTTTGTATTAATAATTATAACAAACTAGTGGAGTAATTTCGCAAAAATAATTGAATTACATGATGGTCAAACATCGTGACATTCAATAAAAAACTTAAAAATTACAATTTTGTTATTTATTTTATATTCCATAAACTTACCAATCAAATAATACATAACATCGTCCTCGAAAGGGTTGTTAGAGAACCAAATCATGTTGGTTTCCTCAGATTGCTTAAACATGCCATAAACTGGGTCAAAAATCTCTTTGAGCAATAGTAAAAAGAATTCTTTCTTGACGCCACCTGCGTCCTCTGCTTCTTCTCCCACGAACTCTACCTGGAAATGCATAGAGATAATGTAGAAAAACACACTTTTGCACATAGAAAAAAAAACTGCTGTTTGTGTTCATCATTGCGACCATTTGTCGGTGAGAGCTTTGACCTGACCTTGCCAACTGTTACTTATGTATAGAGCAGTCTTATGAATAGTCTGCAACACACAGGCGGCAGTATGAAAATATATTTAGGAGCAAACAATCCGAGCGAATGCCGTTACTTTTTACATCTACTGGTTATTTCTAGGTAGATACTGAAATAATTACCATGAAACCAGCGATAGCTTTGTTTTAATTAACTATCTCTCAAGTGTGAATGCCATTTACAACATCACTGCTTTTCAAGAAGTGGTCAAAACCAAACTTATTCATTATTAGACTTATTGCAATGGTATACAGTTATTAACTAATTGTTCGTAAAAATATACATAAAAAAATTTTGCTTTTCTGTATTTCTTCTTGATATACATCATGTATCGTAATTGTTAAACGTACGTGTACTGAGTTGTTCTTTTTGGAATAAATTATTTTCTATTTCATTCCATGCCATTACATTTAGAATGTGTTAAATTTTATTGTAACTGTGGCGAAAGTTTTTTACACCGAAACTTTTTTAGTTTAGTAAAGCATCTTTCCGATGAATTTGATGTTTTTGATATGTAGTCGTTGTTTTATATTATCTATAAATTGTATTAAAATAGAATATTCGCTTCTAGTTGCCGGTTGTTTGTATCCGGCACAAGACACGTTTGCGCGGCGTCTAAAGCCATCGACATGTTCTACTTACCCGTAGCGGTTTCTTCAGCTGCGAGGTATCGTGATTACTAATCTGCAACATTGTATCCCTTACAATATGGTTCCTTGAAACTGTTAGGCTCAAGAACTGGTCCCTGTGGTACTCATACGTGGGGTCTATGAAGAGTCTTGTGAAGGCCTGTGTCGCTGCCCGGTTGATAGCCATTTGCATCTGTATCTGCTGATCGATTTTCAGCAGCAAAGATTTGCAGGTCACGTCGAATAGGAACGAGTAGTTGCACATATGTGGTTGTGATGACTGGGAAACAAAATAAAGATATAGGTAAAAAGTAACAAGCTTATAACAATTTTAGATACACACTTTAAATTATATTAAATTCAAGGTTAATTGTTTCTTAATTAAAAATGTTAGTTTAGATCTAAGGAAGATTTTAGGCAGACAATTTTAGAGTTATTTGCGTATTTGTAATGTGCCGTGTTACGACTCAGATGAGTCATGTTTGCTGATAAGACAGACAATGTAAAAACTACTGGTCACCCTATGGAAAGGGCTATGTTGGGTATCTCTCTCCGGGATCGATTCGGAAACACATAGATCCAGAGAAGAACCTTATCGACGTAGCCAAGGTGTCAGACAGTAGAAAGTGGTAATGGTAAGGTCATATACGTCGTGGACAAGATCACAGATGGGGTAGGAGAGTGCTTGAGTGGACCATGTCAAAGTGGCAGGTAAAAATTGGATGACGAAAGCACAAGATCGGAAGGAATGGAGAGTATTGAAAGAGACTTCAGCATTGGGTGGTTAGAGGGTGAAAAAGAAAAAATATTAAATCAAAATTTTCTATTTAACATGCCTAGCGGTTTAATTATTTTATGATATTAAGCGACAGACGAACAAGTCGTGCGCCCGGTGGTAAGCGACACGCCTATCCCTGACAGTTGCAGTGGCAATCAGAGTTTTAAATCACAACGACCTGAGGAGCACTGCTACTGTATCCGTCACCCTGCGCCATAAGTTGACAAGTTTCATGTGCTAGTAATTTCACCAGCACCCTTGGCTTTCAAAACTGGAATGTAATATGTGAGCATTACTGCTTGGCAGCAGAAGTAGGTAAGGTGGCAGTACTTCCCTTGACAAACTCTTTCACAACGAGCTCTACTGCTACTATTTTAATTCTGGTGAAAGTAAGATTACATTAGAAAATAACTAAACTGTGTGGCCTAAAAGATACTAGGGTGAGTGGGGTCCATACATAAAAATGGATTACATATAAAAAAACCGAAGTACGTGGAATTACGTCTATTTGCTAAGTTTTATTAAAATATCCTTAAATTCGCTACTATACAGGACTTGACACTGGAGATAATAAAAATCGGTTCTCACTACTCAAAGAATATTGAGAGAAAAACGCCTTGAATTGGAGAAATAGCAAAATCAACCATTAAAATAATTGCTATAGTGCTATTTATAAAAATGAAACTTCATGCGTGAACAGCCACTCTTAGAGGTGAATGATTTCCTTCAAAATGAAATGGGACCACTATGGGGAAGTACCCCCTTTTCAACTAAAAAAGAATAATGAAAATCGGTTCACAAATACCGAAGTTATCGCATAACATACATACAAAAAAAAACAGTCGAATTGAGAACCTCCTACTTTTTTGAAGTCGGTTAAAGACTACGTTTGTTGTGGCACATGTACGCAAATGGATTATGGACAGCTGGATTCCAAGGAAAGCTGAACACCTCTATATAATCACTAGTGTTAAAAAAAACTCGTTTACTAAAAGATGCAATTATAAAGAAACTTACATCCTGATCAGACAGCCAATTAATATAATCTGTAGCAATGTCCACGTGGTTGCAAAGGTCATCGATGTAGAAACACTCCGCCGGTATTTTGGGCTTCTTCGGGTTCGTAAAGTTAATTTTGTTCAATGACGACAGCGTATTTAGGATTTGTATTATGCTGTGAGTGAAGTAAATTCTCTGAAAAATAATTTTATTCATTCTAAATAGTGAATATACTTTTTTTTTATAACGTCTGTACCAGAGTCCCATTGCTGGGTGGCGTCCTTTCCATTTGTGAGTTGTGGTCCAACAGACTTGAACAAGAGAATAACATTTTTAAATTTTGGGATAACTAAGAATTACGTGATAAGTAATTTATGTACGGTGTGTATAACACACCTCAACTGGTAGAGCGGTAGCCATGTTGAGGCAGCAGTCACTGGTTCGTGTCTAGTCGGATCGATATAATTTTAGCTTGTTTGTTCGATCTTTGTATTAATAATAATAACACAGTAGTGGAGTGGGAAAAAACATCGATCGAATTTTTGCAAAATGCGCGCGCATTATTGTTTAATTTTTCTTTTCACATTGGCGAATAAAATTTTCGCACTATTAGTGTAATAAGGTCACGTCTACAAAATGACTTTACAAGAAGTCTACGAACGAAGTTAGTCAAAGTTTTTATATACTTAAATAGGAGTTGTAAAATTTCACATATCGTCGCTTTAGAGTGAAAACCTCGCATATGCGTTTGCACATAGTTCGTTTTTACTGTTTTTTGTTGAAGAAAAAAATTATAAACTTCAAATATATTATTAAAGTAATATAATATCTGAAAGAGTTATAATATAAGTAATTAAAACGCTTACTACAAACATTATTGCGTTTACTACATTGTACACCACATTTTTATCTTCGTCCTGAAAAATGAAATAGAAATCACATACGAGGTATTCACTCTAAGACAACGATATACATAATTTGTTTCATGTAGTTCATATTATTTGTATGACTTTCAGGTGATAAAACGACTTTTGTCGTATAATCACGTGTGGTTTTATTATACCAAGAGTCGGAATTTCACTTGATTCGTGTTTTTCTGACGGATCTAAAACCGACGTCACATCAATTTCAAGATGTTCAACCTTTTGTTGTTTACATTAATGCACAGTGTACAAATTGATCAACAAGATGACTATTACGAATTATTAATATGAAAGAATGGCACCTTATTGGCTCGCACGATAGGCTGCATGAGCTCGTAGACGATAACGCTCTTGAAGATGTCGACGAGCATCTCGAAGTACTCGGGCGTCTGCGCCTCCCACCACAGGTGTACGATGCGCTGCGGATGCGTCGACAGGCGGTTGTACGCCTCAGCGAAGGGGCCCTACCGGACACTCACCACATACACACGGATGCAAAAGGATATAATACCAATTTGAAACATTTCGTAAAAAGCAGTAGGTACTCATATAATTTTACTTTGTTAATCCTTTAAGAGCGTTGCGCACTACGCCCGATTCGTATCAATGTGAAGTGTCACAGGGACATTGTATCTCTAGGTGTACAAGCGATATTCGTATTTTGACGGATTGGAAACGGATTTAATGCACAAGAGAGATCTGAAGTGGGTCCGAGTTTTCTAGATTTTATAGTCTCGGATTCGGAACGAATACACTTTCGGATGTAGTGCGTAAACTCGCTTACTGTAACTACTATGTACAACGTAATTGTCATATATCAGATGTAATACCGTATGTAATTAGGTCCGGTGGAAATTTTTATTATTTTATTACTTACGATAATATTGTAGACTATTTAAATAAAAAAAATTGTCATTGAACTTTGATAAAGAAAACTAACCTGGAAGTATTTAACAAATAATTTAATGAAACTAGGGAATTGCCTTCACCTGGTTTCAAACGATAAACGACCTGTATACCATTTGTATAATAGTTGTGGTAGCCCATCGGGAGAATGGTTGCTGCTCAATTAAGAGGTCCACTGTCGGAATCCTCGACTATTGAGTGAGGGCGAGATTTGTGAATGTTTTGTAACAAAATCTCTCGTGACGTGAAGTCCCCAGTCCTAAACATTGCCTAAACCTCCTTCACTTAAAGAGAGACCCGTACCCAGCAGTGAGACTGCCAGCAATGGTACTAGAATAACGATAACTCTAACAATATATATACAATTACAAGATTTTTTTACGCACACACTCCCCGCACTAGGGAAACCCTGTATCGCAGGTGCCATGAACACACACACACCTGTGTGTCAATACAAATTACACCCAAAATCACGAGAAAAATAAATGTAGGCCATACGAATATTTCTCCCGGCCCAGGAATCGATCCCAGGACCTTTGCGTGGCAGACCAGCATGGTAAATATTCGGCCACGGAGGCGGTTAGTTTTATTTAGAGAAGTTTGTTTCTTAAATTCTATATACCATAAACGCGCATATGGTACACGGTTACCTCAAATTATTTATTCATCTCACGTCATCATAGCCAGGTAGTCATTACGAACAAGCTTTATATGCAGACATGCAAATAAAACTAGTTCTCGTTTACACAAAAGTGTTATTTCATAATAATTTAAGAAAGTCTCCGTAGTTGAAGAATTATGTTGATCTAATATGCGAAGGCGGTGTATGGAAAAGCCAATAATATACCTGCAATTCTGGATGCCGTCGAGGGTTCCTCATTTCGTGATAGAGTGGCAAAATTAGAAACATTCTAAGTGCCTCCGCGTCCGGCGGGGAAACTTTCATCTTCTTTATTATGTTCTCCGTTAGGTGGTTGAATATCTGTAAATAATAAACAAAATTTATGACACAAAGAGACTTTATTTCCTTATAAATATAAGGAAATAAAGTCTTTTTTGTAAATTACTTTAAAGTTAGTCAAGATATGATGTCATGCGTGACAATAACGATCGAATATATTAAACACATGGTAATAACAAAAAAATAATTGTAAAGAGCTTCGTAAAGAAAATAGTAAGGTCTGCTAACTCGTTCCGTAGTTCTGTTGGGAATGCGATAGCCCCGGTTTGGCGAAAGTGTCGCTGGTTCGAGTCCAGCCGGATCAAAATAACTTTTCTTTGTGTTTGTATCAATTTTCGATCTTTGTATCAATAATAACAACACACAGTGGAGTGTTTTCACAAAATTATATTAAAATCATGGTAGTAAAAACATTATGACATTCAATAAAATATACAGGCTGTATATTTGAAAGTGAGACATATTCATGCATGTCATAGTAAATCAAGTTACAACTTAACATAGACTAAAATAAAATTAGGATATGGGATAGAAGAAAAAATAAATCAAGAAATTTGTTTTGGAGTGTACATAGGAATAAACCGATTCCCTTTACGCTTGATTTCAAGTGCATTGGGGATACTACCAAGTGAGCGCCGAGTGAGACAGCAACAATAACAATGATTTGACATCTCTCTCTCACCTACTCATTTATGTTATGACGAAAAAGCTGTTATCGAAATGATTACGTTAATTATTTTTTTACTAATGTTAATTATTTTTTACTTATGAGCTATCATCGAAATGTTTTACATACTAAAAAAGATAATTAAGTTATCATTTAATAAGAATTGAGGTTTTTGGCGTAGTTAAAAATGTGAAATCAAATTATTTACAATGATTGATTTTTTAGTTATTTACACTTACGTGGTACGGAGCAAGTGTTCAAAATGTCCACCGTTTTCCACAATGCATAGTCTAGCACGTCGTAGTAATTTTGTTTTAAATTGATCAACACAAACACATTTTGTCTCACAGTATAAAATGCTGAGATAATCCTCTCATGCAACAACTTCGACACTGTTCACATCCTCCGCGTAAACTCCAATTTGGGAACATTTCAATAGCTCGCTTCATACTATCACCACTTATTGCGTAAAGTCGCACCATGTCAGTCAATTCGACGTTAGAATAAATATCCATTTTGCAGGCGAGAGGCGCGTTCGCTGCCGGCGCAGTGTTCGGGCAAGCGGAAGTACAAATAATTTACGTGTCTTCGCTAGGCCAAGGTCGCGCGTGCACCGTCTCTGCAAACAGTGCCGACCTGTGCTTTGTTTTTCGGCGCCGTGCCGCCGCGCCTCTCGCCGTTGAGTCCGTCGGAGCAATAATAGTGGTGTGCATAGATTTCGATAAGTAATGTTGTTCACAAGTAATAGTCGATAATTTTTTTTTTTTGTAAAGTTTAAGTTCACTAGTTTATTTATTTTTTTTTTGGTTCAGAATTAGGAATATAACGCACTCTATAAATATGTCTCACTTTCAAATATACAGCCTGTATGTTAAGAGCTGTCAAATATATTTTTTTATCCTGAAATACTACCCTGCTAGTACAGACGTAGAGTATAATCATTGAATATCGGGAAAACTCGGCAACCACGAATACTTCCGAACGCTGTCGCCGCGTCTATAACTTATCGTAATAATGACTAATTTAGGAAATGAAAATATCGAGTTCTTAGGTTTTCGCGATTGTTACACATAGGAAATGAAACTATTTTTCCGGATTTAATTCGCGTATATTTGTTGACCGTGACCGTGACCATGGGACCTGTAAAGGGCCTGAAACGTCGGTTTGTTTGAAAAAACAAATATACGCGATCTAAATCCGGAAAAATAGTTTCATTTCCTAAATGAAACTATTTTTCCGGGTTTAAATTTGTTTTTTCAAACAAACCGACGTTTTACCGGTTTTTAGCGATCTAAATCCGGAAAAATAGTTTCATTTCCTAAATGAAACTATTTTTCCGGGTTTAAATTTGTTTTTTCAAACAAACCGACGTTTCGGGCCCTTTACAGGTTCTTACACACACACACACACACACACACACAGGTCATTTTACAGGAATGGGAAAAAACAAATATACCCGATTTAAATCCGGAAAAATAGTTTCATTTCCTATGTGTAACAATCGCGAAAACCTAAGAACTCGAAATGACTAATTTGTTTTCATGACAATTAAATACGAAACTGTATTCGTCAACATCTAACATTAGAGTCATTGACACATTCCAGATTTTATTATCATCGTCAACCCATACAAGCGTCTCACTACCGGGCATAGGTCTCCCTTCAGGCGACGGTTTTAGGCCATAGTCCGCCACGCTGGCCCAATGCAGGTTGGGGACTTTATGCGTTTTCTGAGGCCATGTGTCAATATTTATTCACAACATCTGTATCTACTTTTTTTTATAATGTCAAGTGACGGGACCAACAAGTCGTGCATAACAACTGCAGTGTCCGCAAAGCTTTAAAAAGCTCGCAAACATCTGAGGGGCACTGTCACTGCACCCGTCACCCTGATAATTGACATTGATAATTGAAAAGTTGACAAGTCAGTTAAAAAGTCAAGTTAGTTCTTTTAAATATTGCAACAGCCGCGACCTAAGTTAAAATTAAAGTCAAATAATCATTTATTCCATAGGTAAAATTTTTACACTTTAAAAAATGCATTTTTTAAACTACTGCTCGTTCGCTACGCTGGCCTCCCAGAGAAGAACGAGCAAGAAACTCTAGGGATTGCTCTTTTCAAATAAACTTAAATGCTATATGATACATTTTGGATCATATTTGTGTGGAATCTAGACTCATGTTGTCTTTCCATACATCTTTATCTAACACGTAGTCTACAATTTTGTAATATTATTTTTCAATTAAAATACTTTTAATATAAGTTTTAATCTTAGAAAATGGTAATCTTAATATATGCTCCGGAATCTTATTGTAAAAATATATACTTACTTATGGTTCCCCATAAAGTTTACCTTAGTTAAACGAAATCGTGGTACCGTCAGTTTGGACTTAGTTCTAAGGTTAATATTAGGGGTTAAAGTATGAAATTGCCGTTTTATTGCAATAGGTTCTTTGAATTTTCATAGAATCTTCATGGTTTGAGGTTTTCGAATGAAACTTTTTTCAAATGGTTTCTGTGATTTTTTTTTTTTAAATTTGAAACATTTGAATATCGACTTTCAATTGTTTTTGTTATTCAATTTAGACAAGAAAGATGGATACTGCGAAAATTCGAGTGATTTTTGAATACGAGTTCCGACGCGGAACTAACGCGGCAGAAACAGCCCGCAATATCAATGCTGCGTTTGGAGAGGGGTCTACTAATGAACGCACCGTGCGATTTTGGTTTAAACGCTTTCGTGATGGAAATTTCGACTTAAAGAACGAGCCACGAGGAAGACCGCCCACACAGGTGAATAACGATGAATTAAGAGAGATAGTGGAAGCCGATCCTAGTCAAACTACCCAGGAATTAGCGGCATGGTTTAACGTTACCTTACCCACAATATTGACTCACTTGCGTCAAATCAATAAAATAAAAAAATACGAAAAATGGGTGCATCATGATTTGACTGATCTGCAGAAAGAAACGCTTGTTGAAACTTGTGTTGCCTTGTTGAACCGGTACAGAAATGAAGGAATATTGGATCGAATTGTAACATGTGATGAAAAGTGGATTCTTTATGATAACCGGAAAAGAAAAATGCAATGGCTGACCCCAGGTCAAATGCCACAACAGTGTCCTAAAGCAAAACTTACCAATAAAAAGGTAATGGTAACTGTTTGGTGGTCTCAGCATGGTGTTATTCACTATAGTTTTCTCCGATCTGGTCAAGCAATAACGGCAGATGTCTATTGTGCCGAACTCCGAACCATGTTGACAAAACTAGCAGTAAAACAGCCCCGACTCATGAATCGATCTTCACCATTATTGCTCCACGACAACGCGAGACCTCACACAGCACGAGAAACCATTTTGACCCTTCAGGAACTGCAGTTAGAAACCATTCGTCATCCTCCGTATTCACCAGACCTTGCTCCAACGGACTACCATTTTTTTCGTGATTTGGACAATTATCTACGTGACAAGAAGTTTTCTTCCCAGGAGGCAGTACAAAATGCTTTCACACAGTTTGTGCAGTCTGGATCGTCGGAGTTCTATCGCAAAGGCATTAATAACCTTCCCATTAGATGGCAGCAATGTATAGATAATAATGGCAACTATTTTGATTAAATAAATTTGTTAAAAATTTAAAAAATAAACAATTTAGATTTTTAATACAAATCGGCAATTTCATACTTTAACCCCTATTATTATAGATGTCTTCTTTCTTAACGAAATTATGTATATTTTTATGGGCATACAAAACATTTGAGTAAGTGTACTGTGATTCCATGTTATGATACCAGTCTCCTTAAACTTTTCTCAGATAGAAATCTAAATGTAAGTTATAACTTACAAGTTCCTTAATAGACGTATTCTCGAATCGGCTTATTAGAGTGAAGGCCTCCTCTGCTTTCTTGATATCGATGCCGGGCATTTTGGTGTTGCAACTGAAATGCGCGTTGTGCGGCAAAAGGAAAGAGCCGTTGATGCACGCGATTGAACCGAACACTGTTTCCAGGTAGGCCATTAGGTCCTGAGAATCAACAAACAAATATTAGAACAACAAACAAGTGGAAGATTTTATAGACACATCCGTTACTTTGCCGAAATCCATATCATCGGCCATTTTCGTAAACCTCTTAGGGCCAGCGCATACCAAGCGGCCAGCATGTTATACCAGGCGGATGGCAAGACAGACAATATTACATTTATCAATGCATATTTTAAGCTATATAAATTTAAATGCTCTGAGACGTAAAGAGAAATGCGCCGAGATGCTCCGTACCAAAATAATTACTTCCATTTTTATTAAATTTAAAGGTTTATTATTTAATTTTCAATTTAACTGCCTCCGTAGCCAAACGGTCACTATGCTGGTCTACCACGCAAAGGTTCGATTCCCGGACCGGGAGAAATATTTGTATGGCCTACATTTATTTTCCTCGTGAGTTTGGGTGTAATTTGTGGTTGTCCATATTTATTGCTTACCTGACTAACGGAGTCAGACTCCTTAAACTGCTGACATAACTGCAACTTATCATAATTGAGCGACAGAATCTGTTTGGAACACTCTGGTGACCTGAAGTCCGTGCCCACACTGTTGAGTAGTAGGAAACTGTGGTCCCCCCCAGCGAACACTTTGATTGGACCACTGAACACTTCTGGAGAGAACTGAAAGAAATTTAGAAGTTTTTATTTAGACATTGTTTGTGTATTTCATATTTATACTTAATTTGTCACGGTACCTGTAACTATTGTAATGAAATAGTGAACAAATTTTGACAAAAAATCTGATTTGTTTTTATCCCAATATTACAAGTTCACATTACTTATTTTAACGGTATACTCGTAAGTACTCTTATTCAATGTATTCATATAATTAAAAGTCCATAATATTTATGTTATCATCTGTGATACCTGACCATAATCTAAAATTAAAAACCTTTTTAGTTTAAAAAAACATATGCAGTTTGATGATGAAATGTGCTAAAAAGAATTGAAAATTTTACGAAAAGTAAAATAGATACAAGCACTCAGAAAACGGAATTAGAAAGCAATTAAAATTATGACAATGCTTGTTTATGGCGACATAACCGTAATGTTATTCAAGCGTAATAATAATGAACGTTTTGCTAAAAAGAGACGAGGTGTCTCTCCACGAACTTTAACCGTTACATCTCTGGTATTAACATCGATAATTACAAATTTATTTTGGTTTCAATTGCCAATTTAAATTTTCTGGTCTGGGTGTTCTGGGAAGTGTCCACGGATTTTCGAAATTTCGTTATTTTGGTATTAATAGTACAGGGAAATCCCTAGTCTAAAATCAAGTAATTGGTGTGATTCTGACCCATTATCATTCTCGGACCAGTGTTCACTATCTAATTTCCGTGGCATTTGTTATTATTTAAGTATTAGATTTTTTATCGCGCAATATTATTTAATATTTGAGTACTGTATCGCGAAATATTATTTATTAATTACACGATAACATATTTTTAGTAAGCTGGTGAGAGTTGATTAAAGCAAACAAAAGGTAGAATCAATTTATCTCTACATTTTGTTTGCTTTATTGATATTTATTACCTACTGATATAATATTAACTACACAAAAGCGTGTAGTGTAATGTAAAGGTTATTAAAACAACTCGCCGTGCAATTAGATTAAAACATCAGAATTAGAAAATAAATAAAAAAGGGAAAATTTTACACGTAACGTAATCTACGTTAGTGGGTACACATTGCGACATTTGGCAGCGATGCAAACGCGATGCAGTCGCTAAATCGTCTACTTTTACACACGCGCGCGCGATTTTAAGCAGCGACGCAAACACGATGCAAGCGCGCGACTGCGTCGATACAAACGCGCGATTGCATCACTACAATTGGGATTTATAAGCGATTGCACCGACGCAATCGCCTATAAATCAAAAGAGTAGCGATGTTTGCATCGCTAATAAAAGTCGCCGCGTGTATCCACTCTTCGTCAAAAGGATAGTGTTACACAATAAATGAACAATAACTGTTGTTAGTACTTTCGCATGACTCCGTCCGTTTTTTAGTTTTCTCTAAGTCATCTCCGTGATATTATCGTAATAAGTATTTGAACGTTGCCGAAGTTGCCGGGAAGAACGCGCCTTAATTCTCAATACCTGTCTCTGATCATTCGTCTACTCCAGTCGAATCTATCTCAAAATTTTACAATATGTGGATAAATTTACCAGAACGCTTAATTTAACTAAATTATCCATTATCGGTCATTTTTCGGACTAGTGTTCACTATCTAATTTCCGTAGCATTTTTTATTATTTAAGAATTAGATTTTTTATCGTGCAACATTATTTAATATTTGAGTACTGTATCGTGAAATATTATTTAATAATTACACGATAACACACTTGAATAATTATGTAATAAAAATTGCCACGTAAATTAGGCAGTGAAAATTAGTCTGAGAATTACTGTTTTTATAAATATTAAGAATTGAAAAGGAAACAATTTTTTCGGTGTATTTAATAATAATAAGGGCCGGAAACTTTGGTTTGTCTGATAAAATATACGCGACAGTTTCATTAACAATATATAATATACCTTTAATGTTTTGTTTGCTTAATGTTTGCCCGGGCACAGTAAACTATATTTATTTTGTTGTTGTAAACTACACAACATGAGTTTCCACAAATGAATGGCTTATGAATAACGAATTCATAATAAAATATAACCTTTTTATAAATAAAATTCTTATTGTTTCCAAATTTATTGTGTTTGTATGTAACTTTGTGTGCGAGCTTATCGACGAAACAGAAATACACTCCACTATTGCAAATGGTTTATTTTCCTTTATCAGATTTGAGGGAGAATTTTTTTATAATATCAAGTGACGAGACGGATAAGTCGTGCGCCTGATGGTAAGCTACATGCCTGTCCATAACAGTTGCAGTGCCACTCAGAGCTTTAAATAGCAAAGATCTGAGGAGCACTGCCCCTGCGCCCGTCACCCTGAGACATAAGTTAACAAGTCCCATGTGCCTATAATTTCACCAGCACCCTTACCCTTCTAAACCGGAATCCATTAATACCGACATTACTGCTTGGCGGCAGAAATAGCTAAGGTGGCAGTATTTTCCTGGACGAATTCTTTCACATACTCATGTAAAACATATCACGCTCATTAAAAATCGTTGATCGCAAGATCTGCAGGCTCGATTCGTGGCTCGATTCGTAGCTCAGTTAGTATAGCGGTAGCCACGTTGAGGCGACAGATGCTGGTTCGAGTTCAGTCAGATCAAAGGAATTTTTGTTTGTGTTTGTTTGATAATTGTATCAGTAATAATAACAAACCAGTGCTTTCTCAAAAAGAAATTGATGAAAGCTACGACAAAAAAAGTGGTTAAAAATAAAAAACAAATATCTAAAACAAGCAAATAGAAAAATTCGAAAGGTCCGCTAGTTCGTTCCGTGGCTTGTTTATTGTTTACTGGAAAATTCGTTCGTTCGTTCGTTCGTTCGAATCCAGTCGGATCGAAGGGATTTTTTTCTTAGTGTTCGATATTAGTATTAATAATTAAAATAAATGAATATCATATCATATTTCAATTAAAAAAAATAAAAATCGGTGATGTAGAGAACAAAGTTATTTCGGCATTCTGGTAATTTCTTTTACACGTTATTATAATGGGATTACGACGACATGCGGGGAAAATACTACAGAACTCGCTAGGCAGTTCTCGGTACAAGGTCAATTTTTGAGTCGTGCTCGCACACTCGTGAAACTCACTCAACCCAAAGAATAACCGTCACGCTTGTGTTGCCATGTTTACGAAACTAAATTGACTAAACTACGATGAAAACTGTATACAGATGAAAGCAATACTACGAATAAAGCTCCATCTAAATATTATCAAATATTATAGAGTCATAGACTAAACAAAACCATAGATATGTCACAAAGATATTAAATAATAAATAAGTGACTCAACATTAAATTTGGATCCAAAAGTTTTTGATGTGCCCGGCTTGACTGCTGTTGGGCTGTCAACCTTTGGCTTCTTCTTGGGCTATGAAAGATTAATATCAATTAATTCGTTAATAATATATATAGATACTAAATAGTCATATAACACAAAGCAAATAAGTAGGATTTTAACAATTGTTGAGTCAAAAAATTTATAATTATAAAATAATAAATAATATTAGGAGCTTACACAAAATTAATATCTATGCCAGAGTAAAGGTGGTGCTAAACAAGGTGCAATGAATAATGATAAGTATTCGTATTTTAGAATTACGATATTCACCTTGGACAGATCGAAGTCAGTCAGCTAGAAAACATCGATAAGAACATTGTTAGTCCTTGTTATCCGTCGAGTATATAGCCAGAAATAGAGACGAAATGTCATTTAATTTATTTGAAAATTATTCTGCCAAATCATTACGGTGACAACTACGTTCCGATTGGCCAGCCCGAAGCTGAAACAATTGACGGGTGTCGTCAATTGTTTCACTTCAAATCGACCAGTTTAGCTTGAGCTATTGTGTAATGGACGAAAATTAAAAAATACATATTTAATATTTAATTACCAATGAAATGTGATTCCGTTCGTTTTGTAATGTGATGTTTTGCTGTTTTTCCCACACCAGCGAATGGAACAGCCCCCCATAATTAGAGAAGCAAGAACAATCTTTATTACAATAAACACAGAACATTTTTGGAATATACGAAGACGTACACACAGATCAGTTGTTGGCGCTGTATAATTTCAGCTTTCTAATTTGTGATTTCAGTGTAAACGAGAGTTGATATTTAAAAATGATATAATACCCATTTGCCAGATAAGTTGCCATGGGTGGATGGCCTTTAATTCGTCTCTATTTTTGGCTATGTACTCGATGTTGTTATCATAACATCGAAATGGAAAGTTGCGAGTTAAATAATATTAATGTATTGTAACTTTTGTGACAGTGAAACAAGGAATTGTTTTAGCTTTGTCAATTTAATATTCAGATTCCCGATGTTCGGTTTCCCGATGCTTCGCATTCGGCGAGTGTTCGGCCCAAGGAAATCACTTTCGTGATCATATATCAACATTTTAAATGATTTCTGCAAATATTTTAATATGGCGTATTTTTTAAAAAGTATTAATTTGATGATTTCCCTAGCCCAACGGTTTGCATTGTAAACGTTGAGGGAGGAGGTACTGGGCTCGATTCCCGGTAGTATCAATTTGGGAAATGAACTTAAAATTATCTGGTCGGGATGTACGGGGTAGTGCTACGGAATAAATTCCGCTACTCATAGTACAAGAAGCTGCCCGGTTAGAGACCATATATTCGTGTTGCCCGGCAGATATATAACATTATTCAATTCTTGTAATTACTTACTGGCGAATCGTCATTAGGCAAGAAAGAGACAGGCGTGGGCACTAGTGCGAAGGACATGCGGGGACACCCCAGTTGGCCTCGCGCGCCGTACCCGCAGGCCAGGATACGCTCGCCCACGCGGCAGAGGAGGTGCCGACGCCCACACGCTACTTGGGTCACTGTACTGCCCATTAGCTCCATTATCTGGGGATACAGGCCTTGTTAGCATATCTTGCTGTCTCGTGTACCCATTCTGCATGCATCTACGGTTTTCATACGATATTTTAACAGTCACGTGTGGTATGAATGAGTATAGCAACATAAATATTGTAAGTACAACAGATAATATCAGATAATAATATGTTGTGTTTGGAGTTTTGTGGTATCAGCGTTATAGATAGTGTTAAAGAAAAATAATTCAAGAGAGTACTTGTACTAAACATTAAAAAGACTTTATGCTAATTTGAGCATCTACCATGAGATTACACTGACAATTACCGCTAGGGACTGTGTGAAATGTTTGTATACACAAAATGTTGTTTCTTCTTGTGACCACTAGAGGCTGTATAATTTGCCATACAAAATTGCGAAGTAATTTACGCGGTCGCACATACAACTGTCATAGTAAACTCGTGGTCGAAGCACTGTTACCTTCAAACTGCACTATTTTCATATTATTTTTATATAATAACTGGAAAGTGAAGTTAGCAAACCAAATCACTAAAAAATTAGAGAAATGGCTTTTGGAAAATTGTTTCTTTAGCATCAAAGAATTTCTCGAATGTGTTGAATCATTGTATAACATCGGAATAGATAACAGTTAAATTTTGATTATGTAAATGTTTACATGCCCGTCGAATGGAGATATGCTGCGTTCATCTAAGTTATATACTTTATTACTATCTACTGTTTACTCTATATTATGCAAATAAAATCATTTATTTTGAACAAATTTTGTAGTAGAAAGCGCCTTAGGGCGCGTTCTCATTATGTCGTGACAACAGATAATCATGCAGTTTAAGGTGTCGTGGCTAGTATATTTAAATAAAGTTGTTGACACATACAACACGATTAACAGTCGTTCACGACTTTTTGACGCTCCGACGATAAATAAAAGGTCACGATAAAAATGTGACAATAGATAATCGCAGCTTCTATCGTGCAAACGACAGGCTAGACATGACTGTCGTTCAACGATAAAATAAACGTCCACGACACAGTCACGACAGATTGTCGTGATACGGGAACAGGCTAGATGCGACAGTCGTCCAACGATAAATAAGACTACGGCATAATGGGAACGCGCCCTTACATAGGGGAACTAATCTGTGCCTCTACCATGATCTTACTAATAATAATAAATAATATAAAAGAAAACAGGACAACAGGGTTACTTACTTTCCTCGGCACTAGTTCGTCTCTGGTGGCTCCGTGCCCGGTCTGTCCGTATTCCCCTGCCCCACATGTGAACACGCCACCGTCCAAGGTTAGGAACACCGTGAAGTCTTCGCCGCACGATACGTGGCATACCTGTATTTTAATGTCTTCAAGTATACGTTTCTAATAGTGGTAGTTGACATGACAGAGTGTTTAGCCTATTTTGGCATTTTCTTTAGACTTTGACGCCTAGACTGCCTTTGCAATTGAATATTTAGTTGGACGATCAAACAAAACGAGTAAATTTATAAGCAACAGACGATCGACATAGTTTTTTGTCGATCAGCGTGAGTGTGATCAGACATAATCAAGTAAATGTGTAAGAAGTTTGTAACTAGCATTGCAAGGAGTAGCTCATAAAAACGTTTTAATAGAACGAAAATAAAAATGTTTACTTAATATATTGTCAATTCGAAACTACTTTGTTTTGTTGAGCTTTGACGCGAGTTTTCTGGACAGCGATCCTATAAGTGACGATTGTATTAGATGACATTTTCTAAAATTTCGGACATCGAAAAACAAATGCCGAGTTGTGTCGTAAAATTATATAGCCATAAATTTTACTGCACGTCACTATTGACAACAATGCACATCAGTTAGCTCCTTCAACGTAGTTATGAATTAATACGAAACTTGATGAGAGGACATAAGCCAAAACGGCCATCACAGTGTGCCGGTACTCTATAAACATTCACAAATGTATGTAATTAACAGAGTTCACAAAAGGGGGAGGTCCTCAATTCGACTGTATTTTTTTGTGTATACTTTACGCGATTACTCCGATTTTGATGATTCTTTTTTATCAGTATTGGTCCCATTTAAGTTTGAAGAAAATATACCACCTCTAAGGGTGGCAAACTTTCATCCCCTGAAATAGGTTTCGCGCACTTTGTGGTAACCGATTTCTTTAAAACTTAGCAAATAGTTGTACTTCCACGAACTTTTGAGGTAGTTTTTTTTATAAAAAACTTATAATTTAGAAATCAAAGTCCTAAGTACTGGACGTCATAGGGATTGGAATTTTTCAATTCAGAAGCGATTCTCTCACTGTGCTATTACAAAAAAACATGCGTGTATCTCCATCAAGTGAGACGGAGGTCTAATTTCTTCTGTATAAGTCTCAATAAGCTGAATAAATGTTTCTTTTTTCTGTCTTCTATTTAATACGGTTTAAATCCATTAGACTAGTTTCAAAATGTAATAGTTATTAATTCTTAATTCAATTAAAATTTTTGCAAAAACGAATACTTATTAATTTAAATATGGCGACGCTACAAAAACCTGATTAGGTTTACCCGTACACAGCAATTATTGGTGATAGCTCTTAACGAAGCTGGCAAAGTCTTTTGCTTACTTATAACGTGCGTACCAACTTCCATAAATATCACCCGATTATAAAAGGCGAACAACGAAGATGCAAGCAAACAAATTTCATGAAACAAACACTCTACATCTTCTTTTTTTTCCGCATACGCAGCCACGCCACACTCAACATAGCCCCGCACTAAGGAAACCCTGTATTAAACCCAAACTCACGAGAGAAATAAATGTAGGCCGTACAAATATTTCTCCCGGCCCGGGAATCGAACCTGGGACCTCTGTGTAGCAGTCCAGGATGATAACCGGTCGGCATTAAACAAAGAACAGAATAAAAAACAGAACATGTCCAAAAATTAGGTTGACATAGTGTTCATTGGAGGTATCGATTTGTACCGGGGCGCCATCCTTCTATTTATAACATTAAATTCAATATTAAATACCAAGGCCGCCACGTCAACTCCTTTACATACCTTAACATTCCTGAGCGTTTTCAAATGCGCCGGGTAACATCTGTTGTCTCTGTCTGATAAGCCAAGCTGGCCATGTGTGTTCTTGCCCCAGCCGAATACGGCACCCGATCTGTTGATAAGGGCATTTAATTTATATTTATTTTATCTCCAGTCTGGGGAAAGGTCGATCGAGTACGTTTCTCAGCTTGATAGTGTTCTTAAAAACAGATCTGTGCCTCTACCATAAGTTAATAATGACACTTGTTTAGTAGCAGTAGAGTTCCTTGTGAAAGAGTGCATTCAGGCAAGTACTGTCACCTTACCTATTTCTGCCGTAAAGCAGTAACGTGAGCGTTTCTGCGTTTCGGTTTTGAAGGGTAAGGGTACTGATGAAATTAGAGGCCCACGAGACTTTAAAGTGTCAGAAGACGGGTGAAGCAGTGTAGCAGTGCCCCTCAGATCTTTGCGATTTAAAACCTCAGAGTTTTAAGAGTTTCGGCACTGCAACCGTTATGGACAGGCGTGTCGCTTACCATCAGGCGCAAGACTTGTTCGTCCCGTCACTTGACATTATAAAAAAAAAGACGAACGTGTACATATAAGGACAGAAACAGATACAAGAAACGAAAGACGTAGTGTGTGATATTTATGACTGTAGTATTACGACATAATAAACATAACATTCACAAACATAAGTAAGTAACAGTAGAGCTCCTTGTGAAAGAGCTTGTCCAGGGAAGTACTGCCACCTTACCTATTTCTGCGGCCAAGCAATAATGTGAACGTTTCTGCGGTGAGGGTGGCGGGCGCAAGGCAGTGCCCCTCATCAGATTTTTTGTGATTAAAAACTCCAAATAGCAGTACAGCCGTTATGGATAGGCGTGTCGCTTACCACCAGGCATGGTTTGTCCCGTCACTTAATATCGTAAAAAAATTCATGCCTTTGGATTTCCATTGGTGTAGGCAGATCCTACCGATCACCACTTTCCACGATCTTGGCAAATCTATATTGCTTCACCTGCGTTCTTCAATCTTTACATACAAGCCGTCTTATTTATCTCACTACGCATTGTAGCCCCATTTAAGAACATTCTCGATTTGACCTGAGAATGTCCTCCGAAGCCATCCTCTTCATATAACGGGTGATTCATTTGTAGGTACTTTTTTCAAACTTAAGAAATTGGTTTTTTGAATGGTAATAAAGCGAACCCGTTTTTATTATATTTTTTTAGTGTTGAAAAAAGTACCTCAATAACGAATCACCCATCATAAAAGTATAAAATTTAGACAGCAGTACAACAAGCTTCACATTAACGAGTCTTGTTCCGTGCACTGGATGCAATATTCGAACAAAAGTGGATAGCTGGATATGCTGTTGACTGTACATTTGCATTCAAAAAACAGAATTGATCACACTAAAAACGAAGTAACACAGGATATATCGTGACTCGTGGTATACGATTTTTTCGTGTAAATTTGTCTGAGGTTAAAAATCAAAATCTCAAGTAAAGATAAACATATAAATTCAATATTACTGCATCGTCATTTCACCAACAGATAAAGAGTTTGATACAACACTAATGTTTGTATGTTTACCAAAATTTTAAAGTAATCATAGAACTTATATATACCTTTGCACAAACAAAACTCATGGAAATTAAAATAAAACATAGACACTGACACAATATCTATCTTCTAATTTTAAAAGTTCGTTTTACATAATGTATACATAAAATATCATTGCTTTGATAATAACTAACAATAACCACATCCGTTACTTGGTAACTTTGCGTAAAATACGAGAAAATATAATAACAATCATAGATGAAGCGTTTCCGTTTATATTTCGTTATAATAAATAAATAAATAAATATCCCATCCAAATGCCTGTTTAAAAGTAACCGTTCTATTTACACTTTTCCTTTGTGTTTTGTAAAAAAAAAGGACAATCATTATTGAAGATACTCTATCATTATGCTTACTAGAAAAGAAAAAAAATACCAATAATAATTTTCGACAACTGTAGAATAGTGACCAGAGAAGTTTTCATTTTAAATAACGTATTATTAAATATCGAGTTATCAAGTTTTCGCGATTGTTACACATAGGAAATGAAACTATTTTTCCGGATTTAAATCGCGTATATTTGTTTTTTCAAACAAACCGACGTTTCGGGCCCTTTACAGGTCCCACTGTCACGGTTGACTGAGGTGGTACAGTCTTCAACCAGTTATGTCTAATATTGATGCAAACTACCCTACTTTTTCACTATAGTTACAATAGTTATTAATTAAATACCTTATCTTTAATTTTACAAAGAAAACATTCCAATTTACGCTACATTAAGTTTTACAAATTATTTTATTGAATGAATTTTTATTAAGTTCAATTTACTTCCCTGTTGAAATTACGATATTTTTTAATTTCAATGGCCTCTCGCAGCATCCTGGGTAGATAACGGACTTCTTTTGCAAGGACCTGGGGTTTGTCAAACTTCATTGAATGTGTAGGTTTATCCATGACATGCTCGCAGATTGTGGACTTGTTTACGCGACGGTGTCTGACATCAGCTATATGTTCTTTGACGCGGGTACAAATACTTCGCGTAAAGACGTATTATTAAATTTTAAATTTGGTTCTACAGTGAATGCAATAATTATTTTGAATATTGTTTTTGTGATACAAAGTGACGGGACGAATAAGTCGTGCGCCTGGTGGTAAGCGACATGCCATGCCATAGCAGTTGCTGTGTCACTCAGATGTTTAAATTGCAAAAATTTGAGGAGCATTGCCATTTCAGTCGTCACCCTGAGACATAAGTTGACTAGTCCCATGTGCCCGTAATCTCTTTGATCTGGTTTAATTTCACCAGAAAATCCACCCTTATTATTATTTTTTCACACCCCGCTCTAGGGAAACACTGTATCGCGCGTGCCATGGACACACATAGACAACCACAAATTACACCCAAACTCACGAGAGAAATAGATGTAGGCCATAACAATATTTCACCCGGCCTGAGAATCGAACCCGAGACATCTGCGTGGCAGTCCAGCTTGGTAACCATTCGGCCACGGAGACAGTTAGTAACACAGTTGGGCAAACGACTGGGTTTTAATCCAGTGCTTTGTTAATGCCGAGTTTAAATCGGGTTAAAACAGATTAATGTCCGAAATCGAGAGCAAAAACTATAAACAATTAAATATTTATAAATCGAATTTTGTTCATATTTTTAATATAATAATATTTATTGCTTGCTCACATATTTTGCATTTCTCAAAATCGATACAGAAAATCGTTGATCGTATACATTTGAATCTATTTTAATAAAAATCGAATCGTAATGCATCCCTAGTAGTAAGTGAGAACCAACGAGATTGCATGGCATTGTGTAGAGTTGGCTCTTTTTCGTCTAAAACATTTTATACATCGAAATTCTTAATAAGTATGGAAATATACCAAGTTCCGTATTATATTACGACTATATGGTTTCCGCTTCCACTATTTTGGCACTTTGGGCAAAAACGCCATTAAACCCCGAGCGGGTTTGGGTTTTAACCCACTGCCAATTATGTCTGTAATTTATTAGATAGCAATCTTATCAATTTTTTATACAAGGCGCTAGACTATTTTGCGTCGACGTCAAAGTAAATCGTTACAAAACGGCCTGGTGGAAAACCAAATAGGAAAAATGATTACCAGAGCTTAGATTGGAAGGAATCAACATAATAACGCGTATATTTGTTTTTTCAAACAAACCAACCGATTTTAAAAAAGAATACAGGATGGGAATACAGCGTGTTAGTCAACTGAAGGAATAGATAATCGTTACTCCTTTTTTAACACTTCTCTGGTTCATTTAGGGTCGTATTCTAGAACTCTACTCAATGCTCAAGTCAGGATTGCACTGGAAACACAAGCACTGGAAATACGACCCTAATGGCAGAGACTTGAGTATGATTTCGAGTGCTTTAAACCATACTCAAATCCTGACTTAAGCATTGAGTAGAGTTCTGGAATACGACCCTTAGACTCGATACGTACATTTTTGTTACGTAACACAACCACAGAATAATATTACTGTGCTTGTGCTGCATTATGTTGTTTTAATTTCGTTGTTGTACCTATTTGTAAAATTGTATCAGTTTGCCGGATTATCTTTTTGTTTTAAAGTATTATATATTAAGTTTAGGAGACTGTAGGTTTAGATATTTGTTAATTTCAAATATGTATTTTTTTCCCATATATCTAACTGTTTGTCTACTACTACACTAATATTAAAAGACATTTTGTCGATGGACAATTTCTTTATGTAAGTTATTTTTATTTTAGGAAATTATGTTAAAGTAAAATTGCTTATTAGTCTTGTAAAATGGCTAGATTGTAATTAGTTATCAGGTTTTGCTTTGCTTTATAACAATTTTTTTTCAAAATGTAATCGCAAAGATCTAAAGACTATGTACAAGGAGTTTTACAATTTAAAGTAAATAGATAAATTGCCCGTTATACGTAATATAAGGACTAAATTTCTATATAATTAACAATAATGAATGAATATAACAACTTGTAATAAGGATACATAAAGGATGCATTTACACACTGTTATCCAGAAAAATGTTGGTTAATTCAAATGCAGAATACCACTCAAGAGAAGTTAACTGAACATTATCCTTATTTATATAAATAGTTAAGGTAAATTTTTAATTGCAATATCAACTGCGCCAGAGAATGAGGACATCAATACATTAGAAATACATATATTATGTGCATCGCACTGCAATAGTCAAGTTATGTGAAAGTCGAATAATCGAAAGAAGAAAAATAGTACTATAACAAATTGAAAGCAATCTTGTAACGTCGCAATGGTAAAATTAATTTTTTTTTTTAAAAGACTTCCCACATTAGATTTAGAAACCGAGATGGGGGCTAAAATCAGACTGAAGGCAGAAACAACATTCACATTTCTTAATTTTTTTTTGCACACTGTTCCATACTAGAGAAACCTGTGTTGCAGGTGCGATGGACACACACAGGATAAACGTAGGCCATACAAATATTTCTCCCGGCCCGGGAATTGAGAGTTAAACAGCATTGAGCGGGTTCAAGTATTATTTGTAATCTTTTACATTAAACACAAATATAAAGAAGAAATCACACCATCAGTAATAAAGTGAATAATTCAAAAAGTAACATTTTTGGGAAACTGACAAAATAAATAATAAAATGTAACGCACGAAATAAAACTAATACGGATACTCGTATTACTCGTACATCGTTTTTCATAATATACATATATTTTCAATAGTAAAGTTTTTTGAAACCTATTCTGTATATAAAAAAAAATTTCGGATCTAAATCGCGTACATTTGTTTTTTCAATACAATACGTTTTATTTTGAATTTCCTTTTGCAAATCGTATGTAGCGTAAGTTGGAATGTTTTTTGTGAAATTTAAAATAACGTATTTAATAAGTAATAATTATTTAATAACTTTTGTAAGTATAATTCGGAATAGGGTGATTGATATTAATTAACACAAAAAATTACAAGGGAAAACAATTATATAAGTAGTGTAGTTTATATAGATAATTCAGATTTTTTCTTCTGGACAGCATGAATGACCCCCAATTATTTCGGAGGCCTCTACCGCTCTAGGACTCTTCAGCGCCCACTGGGAGGGCGCGGTAGCGACCACTTTGGGAAACTGCTCTAGATGTACCTACTCGTTTTATTTGTACCTACCTACTGTAGGTGCTGACATAAGCTCCAGAGAATTCTATTTTAGTCAGTGGGTGTACTCTATGTATAAGCTCCGGCCTTTACCCAAGTTCATGTTATATTTGGCACTTACCTAATTTTCACATAAGTGTATTTTCCATAAATTACAAGATACGTCACTTTTGTTGGCGCGAAATAGCAACTTACTTTGACAATACAAACGTGTGGTGACTGCCACAAGCGATCAACGCTATAGGTACGCCGATAAGTGACGTGATTTGTTGCGGTGTCGTTTCTTTACTCGTCATAGTGCCTAGCCCGCACTGCCCATAGTTGTTGGCTCCCCAAGCAAATAGATCTCCATCTAAAAAAAATGTTATTGAATAAAAATAACACAATATGGTTAACAAGTACTAATGCTAGGTTATTGCATTGTATGTAGGTATGACAACCACCTTTTAATATTAAGCTAAAGGCATTAAGGTTAATAGACTATTTTCAAAATTGGTTTAAGGCATGTAAATGTAAGCAATCATTGTGGTAAACGGTATTCCATATTGTAGATTCGGTATTTTCATAAAAATACGTAAAATATTACTCGTAAGAAATAAGTAACAAATAAATGAGGCTAACAGAGCTAAAGTGGTATAAGCCACATTTTTTTTTTATCAGCAATATTATTTTAAATAATATTAAATTATATAATTACTTTATATTCAGATGTAATTGTCATGTATAAAAAAACATTATTAAATATTTTTTATACATGGAAATGGCAATCAAGTATAAAAAATATGCACTATATCATTTAAAGTGATATTGTAGGAAAAAAAAAAATTGAGTTACACTACTTTTGTACTATAGCCTCAAGAATAATAATAGTAACATGAAGCAATTTTTTTTTATATTAAAACATAAAAAAATATTTCACCCTGCCCGGGAATCGAACCTGGGATCTCTGTGTGGTAGTCCGGCATGATAACCGTTCAGCCACTGAGGCAGTTAAATATAACATACTATCAGTAGGGAATTTCCTGTACTATGAGTATCTTATAACAAAATTAACTCCAAAGTACTCAATACACTCAGATGGGACTAATTTAGAATGGTTCATTATTTATATTGCTCAAGAGCCACCAATTAGTATATTATATATTCATAACGGGAGACACCTTCCTGATAACCTGAACACTGGGTCTACCTATTTCAGGCACCAGTTTTTGCATAATACGCAAACCTCTGTTAGATTCTTACATTACATTTATTAAAGTACTGTTATAACGCCGCCTGCTGTACCTGTCTTTTGACTATTGTTTTTGTTTTGTCACGTATTTGTTCTTGTGTGCAATAAAGTACATTAAAATTTGTGGATACCAAACAGAAAAAAAGAACTTTTTATAGCTATTAATGCTAAGAGTAATATTAATCAGAGTGTTTCAATGCATATTTTATTATAATGTATAAAGATAAACTAAGATTAAGAAACAGATAATGCTGATTGTAGTTTCTTGTAAACATGACATCATTCTTGAATATACACAATATATTGTGTGCCTGGGCTACTTTTTAATAACACTCTAGCATACGGAAGACCAGAAATGAATTTCTTATTCTATAATTGTTTCACTGTCTGTTTACATATACCATAGTCCAATAAATACTTACTATTCGATAAAGCTACAGAATGATATGATCCACAGGCAATTTGTATGACATTTTTTGTGGCTAGTAACTTCACTATTTTGGGTTTATCTTGGAAATTGACGCCGAGGTTACTGCCAAGCTGACCCATGGAGTCTGAACCCCAGCTGTACGGCTGTCCCCACTCGTCCAGAGCCATGGAATGCTGGACACCACATGCTATAGATGTAAGGGAACAATTTTTCACAAAATCTACTTGACCTGGAAATAAAGAATTCTTTGTTGAATCAGAGGGAAGTAACAATGGAAATAAATTACTAAGTTTTTTTATAATATCAAGTGACGGGGCGAACAAGTCGTGCGCATGATGGTAAGCAATATGTCTATCCATAACAGTTGCAGTGCCACTCAGAGCTTTAAACCGCAGATTAGAGGGGCACTGCCACTGCGCCTGTCACCCTGAGACACAAGTTCAGTTCACACACTGGGACGCAGCATTGCTCACATAACTGCTTGGCGGCACAAATAGGTAAGGCGGCAGTACTTCCCTGGACGAACTTTTTCACAAGGAGCTCTCAGGAAGTAAACTCCGCGAAACTCCGCGCATCCAGTGAAGGAATTGGGCAAAATAGATACGCTTACTGTGAAATTTTTTTCATGCACTTCATTTTATCATCATAACCTCGGCATTAAATTAATATATTTATTTATTAACCACAAACGCAACTGCTATCACCAACACTACCACAAAAAATATACCCGACACATTTCCACTCTGTACGGGGTATACTCTGGAGTTGATTGTTCAACGCTCGGCCGAATTTTTTTTCTTTTCGTAAAGTAACGCCTGAATCTAAAATTCTTATCAGTTAGAATTTCAAGCTACTATATATTTAAAATAAATATTAGACAACATGACATACATAGCTAAGCAGCTTGATTTTGATTGCTTCTCCCGATAGGAAACTGCATCTTTTCAGAGTCGGGGCGTATAATATTGCGGATGGGCTACCCGATAGGATCTATTCCAATTTGAATTAAAATCAGGGCCCTGATTTCAAAGTACTTAAATTAAAGCACTTGTGTTATGAAAATCGAAAACAACGACTGTACCAAAAACACCCAAGTATATTTAACTTCCGATAATTGTTATTACATGAAAAGTATATTATTTAAATGCAAATACATAATCCTGAAGGTACATAACATGTGAACAGCTATGTTAATTCTGGAAGATAAATAGGTTTATATTATTCTATAAGGGCACGTTTATTCGACACGAACTTCATCGCACTCACTCTCACGCCGCGTGACCGCATGCTCGTGTTCAAAGACCACTTTTACGTTTTAACTTAAATGTGAGGCTGACTTGTCTTTGGCCTACGCGGCGGCCGCGCCGTTGTGTTATTCCTTTGAATTTAAATGTTGTTGCCTAGTAAATAGAATTCAGATTCGCCATTCATGTATGGATGCTAATCTCCAATACAATACAATGTAATAATTTTATTCCAATCAAATGTAGATAAACTTTTTAACCGTCACAGGTTAGATTAACTAAATGACTATTAGATGACCAACTTTAGGGCTGCCTAAAACACAAAAATACTTATTTATTTGATATACTTAATTGACACTGAACACATTGTAACAAAATTGGACTCAATGAATTGAATTAAATATGAAGGTATGATAATGACATTGCATAAATGCAGACCTAAAATTAGATTACAGAGTAGATGACTTTGCCAATAGCTGGTTAAAAAACCTTAATAAGAGAACTTTATCAGTCGTAACTTTCAACTTTTTCTTTTTTTTTTTACAACTCAGTATTCTGGGTTGTCGTCCACAATTGTTCTGAGTATTATTATTTGCATAGTTTATTCCAGGTCTTTGCAGCCTTTTTTTCCCTACAGTCAGTATTTGTTCTATTGTAAACCGTTACTTACAACTTAGACCAAGGTCAACAGAACTAAACAGCTGTACGGTTTCTTAACTTTGATTGTATTTACCTCTGTCTAGTACATACTTACCTATGAATGGTACACCCATTAGAGGGCAACATATTGGGTTAGCAAGTGCAGAGGCATCTTATTGATTTCATGTTAGAATATACACTATCATTTTAAATCTTAGGGCTCCTTCAAATTAGAAGCTTGTAGAAGCTGCGCGTCTGTAGAGCTTCAGTAATTTTTAGTTCACTAATTGTGACTGCAAAAGCAGCGGACGCATCACAACAGTTGTATAAAAGTTGAAGTTGTGTGTATGTGTGTTGTTGTGGCACTGTCTCAGTGGCGCAACTGCAGTGCTTCTATAAGTGTCTAATTAGAAGGCATCCCTAGTACTTAATATATGTAATATTTATACCTTTATCTTAAAATATTTAGACGGTTTATTTAACGAAGCAAATATGCACCATTTACTTCTGAAAAATTTTTCAATTCCAATTTGTAAAAATCATGCAAATTTATATATATTTAATATCTTTTTCTGTTTTCATGAATAAAATCATGACTTATCAAAATGCATGTAATAAATGAGGCTATAAGCACAAAAGTGGTGTAACCCACATTTTTTTTATTTTAAATTATATTAAAGTACATAATTATTTTATATTTGAATGCTATTTCCTTTGTTATTGTAATGTATTGTTGTATTAATTTATTATACATGAAAATAGCATCCAAATATGTACTTTAATGTCATTTAAAACAATATTGTGGAAATAAAATTAAATGTGGGTTCCACTACTTTTGCACTGAGCCTCAAATGTAGCCAGATACCGAAAGGTGTGGACAAAGAATTGATTATGAATGAATCAGAAAAAATAATTACCTGGAATCTTGCTGTCACCTTTATGTGTTCCACGACCTAATTGTCCAACCTCATTGTTGCCACAAGTGTACAATAAACCTCCCTGTGTGAGATACAGTGCATGGAACTCTCCTGCAGCTACTGTCTTTAAGTGATTGCTCTCTTTCCATTTTGATAATGTTGGTTTGATTATCTGGAACCAAAAATTCTATAATCATACTGCTTCACATCTAAATTTAATAAAATAATATGATCTTACATTAGGCAACCACAATGGCACTGCAGTAAGGCAGTATAGATATAGTATGTAACTTCTGAGATCAATTATTAATTAATACATTAAATTAAACTAATTTTGGTTCTGACCCTATCGAAATTGGTTCTGGTCATTATCATTAATATTTTCATTCTAGTTTGATATTCAACATATGGGGAAAATCCCTAGTTTGTGACCAATCTACAAATTAACTTATAATCTTGTTTTATTTATAAAACTTATGAGTAGAAAAATGTACATTTAAGTTTGTAGATTACATCCATTTTAATTAATACCTAGCTAATATTTACATACAATTGGTGGGTAGTACAGTCACACAATACTATGGCACCATTAAAAGAAATATGTGAAGTTGGTATTTTGAAGAATGAAAGGTTTGTAAATAATATCCAGTACATAACAAAACAATGGGATAAAAATAAATATTACAAGTAATAAGTACAGCAATAGAACGTTAAAGAATAATACCTTTTAGTTATACATAACACACTTCATTTCCATTGAAAACAAGAAATTATTTTCATTTGTGTAAAAAAAATTAATTATTTAAGAGGTGATCATTTACATAAATATTCCTTTCGAATGAATTAATGACATATTCTAGGTAAGCAGCAAGAATTTCAGATTTGCAAACAACAGCAAAAAAATATGAAACTTGTGAAATATTCCAAGAGATATTAAGGGATGTTCCAGATAATGAATAACAGACTTACCAGATCAACATTATCGGCACTTTCAATATACAGCTCATGATGAGTAGCATTACCCCAACAAAACATTTTTGTGTACTTCTTGAATGACTATAATTTTTTTACAACTTACAGTATAACCTATATTATTAATCTTTTCAGTCTGGTTTGAACGGGGGTAGTTTTGATGTATTGATGGGGTCGGGGACAGTCGTTCCGCACCGGGACGGTTACCACAATAATTTTTATTGAGACATTTTCATCAGAAAAAAACAATACATTTCTAAAAATCGAGAACAATCTTCATTCTCGCGCTGTCAGAAAATGCGAAATTGACAATGACATTGACACTGCAGTTGCAGTTTCAACTTTCGGAATTCGGATACACTCCTTACTGTAATTTTAAAAAATTGTTAATTAATAATTTTAGCGTTATCTAGTATGAAGTAGCAGTACTTTTACAACAATAAACCACCCATTCAAGAATATTTATGTACTGCCATCTATCAGCAAAATTTACTACTAATTAGTGCTGTACTCGGGCGATAAAAAGGCGAAAGAAAGAAATTTATTTTAGAACTGTTCAGAGGGAAGGTGAAGAAGGGAACGGGACGGGAGGGTGACGACGAACCGATGGGACGTTGTTCAGCGCATAGATAAGTATGTAAAAGGTTTAGCGGCCATATTTGTTATTGTGCTCAATGGAGATTTATTTAGATCATTTCATTTCAGACTAAAAAGTTTTACCGTTTTTTAAAGTTTGTGATGTATTTTATTTCGTTTCACCCCTTTTACAAACCTTTCTATCCAGTGACGTAAAAGATCGCACCGAAAAGTTATGCAGATTCAGTGATCGTGGATACCCCCCTGTGATAATTCGCTGAAGTCATCCAGCGAATTTTATTGTGGAATTATTTCGATAAATTGTGTTAAAGTGGCGGGGGCATCAAATAGTAATGGCCAAGGGGGACGGCAGGCTGCCCCGGTCGACGTGGGGTCGCCCCTACTCGACTGGGAGGAGGGAGACCATTTCAGTTTCGAGGACTCTGAGCGATTCGAGGAGGATTCTTTGTGTAGCTGGAGTTCGGAACCTGAGAGCTTGTGTAATAATTGGCGAGGATGGAGGAAGCCCAATCTCCAGAACTCGTTTGGTCCGCGCACCACGAAAAAATCCATTCAAGGTAACCCATTACAGCTGATCCTTTGTTTCATTTTCGGAAATTCGTTACAACATTACTTGCTCCATTTCGCGCATAAAGCTTTATAAAACCTTAGATTTATGTCATGATTTGCGTCTTAGTGAATGTGTAAGGTGTGTTTTTCATGAAGTTATGGTTTGATAAGCTATACGTACCTACATAACAAGTTGCTTTGTGTGATTGTATAGATAGGTAGGTACAAAGAACAGGTGTTATAAGTCATTTACCTTTAGTGACCAGAACAGTTAATAATACCTTGATGTCAAATCCTTGCTATTTACAAAAGCCCATTCTTTGTTGTTCAAGTTTCTTTTTAACTTTGTTTTTATTTACCAGTAAATTGGAAAGTTTTGTAATTTTGAACTTTCACTACTTTCACAGATTTTTTGTTTTGGCTTCCTTGATTGGTTTTTATATTACTTTTATTTTAGTTGTGTAAAGTAGGTTACAGTGAATTTTCATAGGTACGCAAAATTAAAATGGTACGTTAAAATATACACTATGATTACTTACCTTCACACATACGTACATTAGTTTTATGTCAGTTAAGTGAATTAAATCATTTACAAAACTTGTTTAACTGTTATTCATTTACTCAAAGAAATTGTATTTTAACTGTTCACTTCTACATACTAAGTAAAACCAATATTTTGGGTAACAAAATCGCAAATTAATCATAATATTTCTTGATATCCAATTAAAACCTTTTTTATTGACATTTTTAAGTGGTTCTTCTCGATAACATTACACTATATGTTATTTACACCATTTTATTACCACTAGCAAGGTTGGTGTAATATCTGACAACAGCTTATTTATTTAATTTGTCACGCATCCACATACAATTGCTACAGACACTGTTTTCCTAACAATTTTGTTACTGTAGTGTCCTAAATCGAGTTTCTAACACACAGCTGTTTTCATGTACCATTTAAAAAAAAAATTATTGACAATAAAAAATAAGATTAACAAAATCATCATTGCTACACATTCATCAGTAGTACATGTACAATACATACAGATACATTAAATATAAAAATAAGCCAATTAATTAGTATTATGCATGCATTTAAATTAAATGTGTGCACAGCGTTATACATAGAGGTAACATTTTGGAAGCACGAAAGTATGACAAATTGGTCTAAATATAACTCGACTATTACAATGAAATTCAATTAAATTTACACTGAATGAGCTGAAAACCCCAATTAGGAACTACTCTGATATGTCTACAGAGCTACCAAACAATGGTTTACAAGAAAAAAAGAGCTTTATTGAAAAATAGTCCGTATCTTGATAAGGATCCAAACCTGAACTTTTATCAGTAGAGACTGAATACTTAATAAGCCATCTGTAATAAACTTTCCATTTACAGAAAAAACAGTATCAACACTAAGCGAGCTATCAGCCAAATGTGTAGCAAGTCACATCCCATTTGAGCTTGTGGAACATGTCTACCCACCTGTCCCTGAACAGCTGCAACTTCAGATTGCATTCTGGAGCTTTCCAGACAGTGAAGATGACATCCGACTGTACTCCTGCCTGGCTAATGGATCTGCTGATGAGTTTCAACGTGGAGAGCATTTGTTTCGAGATAGAGCTGTCAAAGATGTATTGCAGATTGGTAAGTGATTTGTAATTTCAGTAATGACATATCACAGTATTATGTCCTTTTTATACTGACAAAACTTTTATACAATATCATTGAAATTCTTTAACCTTTTTACAGTTTTTAATTTTTACAATAATTTTTGCATTTTTCTCAAAGACTCTTAGCTTAACCTAGTTTGAGCCTCATTAAAATGTCTCTTTGGATACTGCTAATCTTATTTTGAATGTTTGCAATAATTTAAAAACTATTATAATTGTTTCAGTACAGAAATGCATATAATATTGACTCTCAAACTAAAACTTTGTAATAAGCCCTCAAAGTAGGAACTTAATATGAAATCATTAATGATTGCAATTAATTAAATCGCTGAGTTGGTAAATTCAAGGTCAGATCAAAGGACACATTGTACTAGTGGGTTTACTTTTATTGGAAATGAATCATACATTTCCAATAAGGTCGCAAAATTCATGACTGCGAAGCTCACAATTGATGCATGTAGATATAAATGTACTGGTACCCTAGTATACCTAGTAAAACAGCTCACGCGTGTTTCTATGCGCCCAATAAATTGTCTCATCATTTGTTTTATCTGGTCATGTACTCATCATGACAATTATTAAGCAACTTAAATAATGAGCTACTATTTTTGGCAGTTATGTAGAACCAATTTGAATGGCAAAAAACAACAGAGTACTTCTAGAAAAATCTTTGCAAAATTTCCAATTTAGGATCACATCACGAACTCTGACAGTACAACAACATACACTGCATTTGACGTTACTTATTTGGTCTTTTGGAATGGTAATAATACGACATTGATACATAGGTTTCCACCTGTCGGCGACGGTCACTCTCAACATGCCTAGGGCGAACTATAACGTGGCAGTCACATTCGACCGGCAGCGTATATCCTCCTGCAACTGCACTTGCTCCTCAACTGCACATTGGTGCTCACACATCGTTGCCGTCTGTCTCTACAGGATACATTTAGTGAGTGTGCTGTCTCCATATAATAGAATATTATGACAAATTTTTACAGTATATTTTGTGCTTCTTCGAGAAACGTTCTTGGGAAACTGACTACTATTAAAGAAATAAGAAAATAATAATGTGGAATATAAAACTAATGTGTCCTTTTGTCATATCAAATACAAATTTTGTCATATTTGATACTAGGCAAATGGCGTACATTATGACTAGTGCAACGTACGTTACTTATTTTAATCTATTTTGTCCGTGTCCCAGAATTACTATTCGAATTATGTCAATTTTTTTGGAGGTAGTGATTTGTATAGGATAAGTTATGGTCATGGCAAATAAAATGCCTTTAAAAATATTTCCAATAACAATATCTGTGTAGCGACAATGTTATCGTATACCCTTATTATATACAGACAATGTTATGTTGATTCTGCCTGAAGATTACCTTAATGTCCTCTTGACATTTCACTTGCGGACTTATATTGAATAATATTTCCTTTTATAACCCCCTGATATTAATGTGTCGGCTTGACAACGAGATATTTATGAAAAACACCAGTGTTGATATTTTTAAACCAAGATCCAGGATATTTAAAGGAGCAGTAATTCAACTTACACTTACATATAAAATTCAGCTTGTGACTTTTGTATTAAGTGCGTAAATAAATAAATTTCTCCGTAAATAATAAACAGTAGTTATTGTTGAACACTTGTTGCGTTAATATGATGTGTCAACATCAAGTAGGATTACGGAACAGTACAGAAAGAACTTGGTAATATCATATAAATAAATTTTCAGTCTTAAATTTTACAGCGTGTAGAATTTATCTACATACTTAGTACTGTATTATATCATTATTATCTAAATGCATACATTAACTAAGCTTGAAAAGGTCACCAACATGACACTAGGTGGATGATTCATTAATTACGTGGACACAAGTAGGTTCTTCCTTTAGGAACTATATCCAACAAACTGTCAAAACCAATTGCTTCTCGTTTTGATTTTAGTATAGTTGGTAAATTTTTATCATCCAGTTATTTAATAAACATAGTGGGTTGACCGACTTCCAAAAGATTAAACATTCTTCTACAAGAAGGAATAAAGCTGTAATAGTTTTTCTTAACTCATAGCTTAAAATATGACGTTTTCAAGTGTAAAAATTTTACTTAAGGAATATATGATTATTTGACTTAGTTAGATTTTGTACTATTTAGCAGAAGGGAAGATGACTAATTTGTTATTCAGAATAAATGGTAATTCTTATATATTTGACCATGACTCATTATCGCTAAAAGTTCACTCAGTAAAGTCAGACGCAGACTGTAACACGTACCTACTTGTAATTTAGTCTAGACAATGTAATAAACTTAAATTATGCATTTTAAAATGGCGCTTAGCATAACTAAGATTATTCACTAAAAAAATTGTGCACTGGCTATTATTATGTACAATTCCAGTTCGAAATATTTTGTTTTGGGACCGTTTTTTTAACATTAGTACACTTAGCTACAGGTTAAACTATACGCAGTAAACGAATATCGTACTTTATTTTATTCATTCTATTTTCGATAAGTAATCATGTATGATATCGAGTTCTTAGGTTTTTGCGATTGGTACACATAGGTTTTTGCGATTGGTA